TGACTGCCCCTGCAACCGTACCGACCAGCGTCATTGGAAACATGAGCTACGGCGACACCACTTATGACTTTTTCGATCCCCAGCATTGGATGTTGGATGGCCTTCTTGATTTCAACTATTCGTTTGTCCCCCCTCTCGAAGGTGCATAGAGTGCCCAGGCTGGTTCTGAAGGGGACGGGAATTTAAATCCATGAGTCGGTCCATCTCTTTTCTTCTCATTTCTCTTCCATTTGCTCCTCATATCTCTTTCCCTCGCTCCCGGAGAAACCCTGAATCCTAAATGGCACGTTGGCAGAGACGACAGAGAAGATCGCTAGTATTAGACCGGAATGATTTCGTGCTGTGAAACAATCAGATTGCAAACAAATGACATTCCATCGTGCTATTCCAGGGAAACGAAAGGGGGAAAGATTTCATAAGTGAGTTTGCGTTTTTATACCAGAGTGCCTTGCTATTATGTTTGAGTGTTTTTTTTCCTCTTTTTTCATTTTTTTTTACTTTTTCTTTGCGGCATTTCATTTTGGGGCCCGGGAATGCCGCGTAGACGATTTTCTCGCGGATACTATACCCAGGTCTTTTTTTCTTCCTTTCTCGTTCTTTTCATATATATATAAGGCTACGGGGAGTATCATGTTTATACGCTTGCAACGAGGCTTTCTTTATCATTTCACTTCTCGCGAAAATTCTGGAGGGCTAAGGCATTATTGGATCTCGGGCTTTTTTTCCCCATCTTTTTTCCTATCTTTCTTTCTCTCTTTCATTTTCGCTTTTCTCTTCTATACACTTCGGAAAATGGGTTCTGGCTGTGGGCATACAGACGTATGGGCAAACTTGTAGGTAGTAGTATAATGAATAACTGTATATTGTATGGATCCTGACGCTTTCATTGTTTTATGTCGACGTGTCTTGGTGATTCTCGTCATGTATGTTATTGATGCATGCCCATCCGAAGGCTACCCTGTACGCTTCTAATTCTGTGCCGCCTTCTTTGGCCAAGAGTTCCTCCACGGGTTGAATTGAAGGAAATCAAGCTTCCATTATGTCGATACGAACAAAGACAAGCTGATTTGTAGCAGACTCAAGGAAAACGTTCTGACTGCGTCATCAGCTAAACGAGTCGTTTGGCTACGAGTCATGAAGTTTCAACAAGAAGGTCACGCAGAACATGAAAGAACACGATTGGTCTTCTATATCAATCCAAACATCTCCAGAAGAACATATCATATCAAAACATATATTACAAGTATATACAGGAAGAGGAGAAGACAAGTGAAGAAAATTCGACACAGGTCATAGAAACGAATCTCAGCAAGGAATAGGTGCCGCGAAAACTTGGGTTATGCAAGCAAAGCCTCCAAGTCCCTTTGATCAAGTACAACTATCAACTCTTCTTTTTTTGCAAGAATCTTGGATCTCCACATTGAATGAAAAAGCATATTCGCATTCATGTACGGAAAAAAGGTCGAAGAGTGAGAGAGCTCCCATCCTTGTACGCACACCGCCAACCATACTTAAGTGACTGAGTCATGTTCACCCAAAAGACAGTACATTGATTGTATCTTGACATTTTGATCAATGATTAAACTTAATGCATTACAAATAACCAAGTACTACATCAAGCATCCGTCCACAGTGCAGTTTCCTTTCTGTTTCTTTCTTTCTTGGTGACTGCCATGAAGAAGAGCAAGGATGGGAAAAAAAGCAGCATCAGCAAAGTAAACAAGAACAACAAGATGATCTTGTATGGGCTAGCAATTTTATTCCCATTCAGTACCCCAGCTCATTACTTCTCTCAGCCTGCGCTATAGCAAACGAAGGAAAACAAAAGAGGACAGAGTAAAAAGGGGGGATTATCTAGAACTTTGAATATACTTCATGCTGTTTACCAAGATTATTAGCGATCATTGGCATTCCAACGAGAAAAAGAAACACGAACACGTCAACGTCCAAAACTGTGACGACATCTCCCTCTTACGGCGCTAAACCAGCTTTCCTGCTGTTGGTCAGCGTACTATCAGAAAAGGGGAAGAAGGTCAATTATTGAAATTTTTATTGCCTTATTTGAGCAATTTTAAGTATTAGATTAAACCAAAAAGCTAAAAAGTTTCGACTGTACCGGGTGACATGGGTGCGAGTATGAAATTCGCCTGAAGAAATTTTATCACTGACGTATCTGCTGTGTCGTGTTGGTTGGTTCCCAAACTGCCCTGTCATCTCCCTCTTCCACACTTTTTTTCTTTTTTTTCCATTTTAACCGTTCCTTCTTCCAAACGAGTTGATCCAAACTTGTCTGGACCCTTATTTACCTTCTATTTCAGGGTAAATTAAGCACCCGCATGTTGGTCGTTGTGTCTCTCGCCTCACCGTAGTGTTATGCGCAACCCATGACCAACCTGTCTTCACTTCTTTCTGCCCCCCATCTAGTATTTGTATTCTAATCCCTAGCAGCTAAGAAAGAATCGGTCGTTATGTTAGTTCCTATGCCAACACTCAGATAACGGGAGGAACGGCTAATGCCGCCAACGGGATGAGCATCTTCCCTCTACTGCACATACCACGCTGGCCAAATGCCGTTGTGACTTAGCTGCCGTCCGTGAGCTTGAGCTCAGAGTAGAGGAAATATCTCCAGGACCGTTGTCCCCCCTGATCTGATAATGGCTGTGTCGTGGCGTATCGTTGCACTTGGCCGCTCACATGGGCCTCGTCCGGGCCGCGACAAGCGGCCGGCCCCAGGCGGCCCAAAATGCGACCGCAATGGCGTCTTCTCGTGGAGAGAGATAGTAGACATATAAAATAGAAAGGCGCATTTTTGATTCTCCCTCTTTTTCTCCCATGTTGAAATCTGCCTTGATTGAGGCGCGGGTCTTGGTCGAAGCCGAACAACGACCAGGGCCATCGCGATTGCTCTTCCACCATGATCAACTGAGCATCTAGCCAGCAAATCATACCGCGTATCCGGGGTCGAGGCCAGCAAATTGCCAATTCGATCCGTTACTGTCAACGTATAGTGAGCTAGCTATTGCTTCTCCATCACCGAGATAAACTAGCTGGCCAAAGAGGTTTGCACGCCCCTCCCCTCACTCCTCACGGTACTTGATGGATTTTCTACCCTCCCAAGTCCTCATTTTCAAACTTATACGGAGTACATTCCGCTTGATAAACTGACCAAAAAGACGAAAAAGCCTCGGCCACATTCTGGCTTCGAGTACGAGGACCGGGTTTGATTTGCTTAAGTGGAGAGAGAGAATGGAGAGGGGGCCGTGCTGGCCTCCATCAAGTCTTGGAAACGATCGAGGGAATAGTACACGCTGGTCAACCAACAGCAACAAAAGAGCCCCGTCTTCATTCCTCACCCGAATGGGGTAGCATGTAGAGACGAAAAGCAAATGAAGGAAAAGGGAAAAGGTCGGATTTGGGAGGGAGATGCGCAAAGGAGCCAACACGATCGGTGAGGGATCCTTTCGGCCGATCTGGCGGAGACGTTTGGCAGTAGGCAAGAAGTCGCCGTTTGTGTTCCAACTGCCGGCGGAGTTGTCGAGCGCGACCCATCATGAGATCCGGAGATCTACGGGAGATGGCGACGTTGGCACCATCGTCCCGCTGGCTCCCGCGTGCTTACTTTGTAATAGGCCTGTGAGATGAATATTGAGGACATGACTTTGGAAATACCAAATAGACATTTGTAAAGTCTTTACGAACACGGCTTTGGAAATCACTGGGTTTCGGGACAACGCTGTGAGAGTGAGAAAGATAGCTTGCTCTTTGAATCGACGGGTTATCTGCGCGACAAACGGAGCCTGAAACGATGCTGACTTGACTGGAATTAGGCAGCGCTGGATAAGTCTCGACTCTCAAATACGCTCGGTCATTTGCCCCCCTCATCAGCACGGAGGTGAGCAGATACCCGTGGCTGATGAGCTCGGTCAAACCTATTACGAATAGATGATGTCGCTAGACAGGGAACAGAGCGGTGGCGAATGAGAAGACGAGCAAAAAGAAAGGAAAAAGCAATACTCATGCCTCTACTTGTAAGGCATTTCAAGCAGCGTAGGGCAGATGGACAAAGTCGAAAAAACCCATGGTTTCAAGACGCACTGCTCACCATAGTGTCTCTCGATGCTCCTCTTCTCGCTTGGCACTTCCATGCTAGGATTAGGCCACCGACGCTGTCCAGAATACAGCGTACTCTCTGGCCCCCCCTTTCTTTAGGCGCCCTTGGGTATCTCTAGATGCACACATGGTCGGCATTTGCTGACCTAGTTTGGTTATCGGTCATGACCATCTGCCCTTCTGTCTATGAGATCACCTGCCGAGTGAGGGCGTGGGAATATTATACGATTATCGAGAGGACGGACCATGTGTGACTGGTTTGAATATGACTTTGAGCGTGGTGACATCCGGCGGTATGATCAGCAAAAGGTCACGGCTCTTGTGCAAAAAGCTAAGGCACGCGGGGGATGTGTACTCGGTGCTTGGCCTAGAAGCTCGCTATTGGAGCCGCCCTGGCAACGAGAAGAGACTTTGGCTTATCATTCCATTATGGTGAAAGAAATTCGTCGACCCGGACGAGTTTCCACCCCCTCTTTCAGCCAGATGTTCAAGACGCGGGCTTTAACCAAGGAGAGTGGTGCGGTCTGTTTCTTCGCTCACTATTGGCTGATTGGGCCGCATAATGTTTGCAACTAGGTATCTTATGAACCTGCATAGCCAATATATGCGCGTGGCTGGCATCATATTAGCCAATGCCAAGTCACGAAGAGAACTGGTCGAGTGGGCTGCAAAAATCGGCAATAACGGTGCGGCTTTTAGCCCGTGTGCTCCGTGAGAAGTATGAACAGCACGCGTCTTGGAGGCTAGACCTCAGAAGATTTGCAGCTAAGGAAGAGGATCAGAGTGAGCTAGCCAAGCTTGAGCCGCTCATACTGGCGAGAAATGCCAGGATAGACTCCTAGTCGAGGCACGGATGAAGCATGGGAGAGGGCGTGGTGTTAGGGGGCAAGTCATTCGCCTGCGTTCACGCTCTTATCCCGCATACGGGCGGTCGATGGTGGCAACAGAAGTGCCACGGCCATCATACCCTTATGGGTGGACAAGAGGCTGTGAAAAATCAAGGGGCTAATGGAGCCAAGATACTGCTCTAAGGCAGTAAAGAACCCTGTATCCGGCATCATCCCAGTGCCATTGTCTCCACGCGCATGGAGAGGGAGGGAGCGAGCTAGAGTACTAATGCGAGAAAAAGTATCTGTACTTTCGAATAAACCTGTGGCTACCAACTCATCCTGGCTTGAGAGACCGGGATGTGAATGGACAGAGACGTCTCTGTACGCGCCTAGATTCTGAACTTGGATTCGATGATCTCTATTCTTGGCCCCAGGCAGCGACAGCATGCTACTAGTATTCGACACTTTGTCAGTAAAATCTGCAGATTTGCTGAAGCCTACGGCACTGTAAACGAGCCAACCATGGCAGTTGTCGACACTTCTGGATTACGCTACTTCGGAGTAAGTACCCAGGGTGAGAGGGCAGCAGGACGACTTGTCGCTCTGTGCTCCTCACCTAAGGAGAAACTAAGGCTGCCTAGCTAGCAATGTGTGTGGCTCACCTTGCTATAGAGTTTAGTCGAGAACAACTTTGGTTCATAGACAAACATGTAATCATCTGACGTATCGTGGCAGCTTGAAATAGAGTTTGTGTACTCCGCAGGCAGGTTCTGCTCTTAAACGTGGGTTTAAGGAACGTGTCTAAGGTGAAATCGAAAATGATTGAGAATCGATGTTATCGCCGCTATCCAAAGGAAGGAAATACGGGTCGTATCAGTTAACCACGAGGCAATACTTTACTTTCAGAAGGTACAAAAGCGGGCTTGCAGGTAGCGCACTGCTGGGGGAAGAGGAAAGAGGGGGAGAGGGGAGAAGGGAGAAGAAGGCGTCGCAATCATGATGAACCAACAGCACAGCAGATTGAAAATCGTGGCCTAGTGCTCACCCGCTATTGAGAGTGCAGAGATAAAGATCGACTGCTAGTTGCCGGTAATCTGAGGCCTTAACGCCTTGCGGCGGATCATTCCACGCCATGCTGTTTGATTTCTCAAGTGCTCAGTACTAACAAGCAGCTCGACCATGCGAAGTTCACGTTACCGCCAGAGAAACGTCCAGAGGACAAGAGTTGGGGGAAATCGAAAATGAGCACATGCTAGTACAGAGACATGGGGACATGGGGACATGGGGCGAATCGGACTAGCCAAAACAGGCACCAACAGCCAGTGCCTGTATTGCTTACACGTAAGAATCGCTTAGATCGATCAAAAGATCACGTAGAGCTAGCAAGTCGAATACAAGATCGCCTTCTGGTGTGGTAGTTGGGGGCCTCGCGGCTAATCGTAGACTCATAGGCGCGGGCTTAGCAATGAAGCCGCGGCAACGTCTTGGAAACGCAGAAGAAAGGGGGGAAAGCCATCGCTTAGATGGCTGCAGAGTCGGCGCTTAGATGTGAAGAACAATGACCATCAACAAACAAACGATTATCCGCTGTCGAGATAGCCGCCGAGTGTTCCACTCTTGATGGATGAGGGTAGGGGGAGCCTGTATAGAAGCTTTTGCAACAACGATATGCTAACAGCGTAGAAAGGTGTAGAATCTGAGGGCAAGAGGCAAAGGCGCAGAGCGAGACGCATTTGGCACGGGGTTGACAGAGTAATTCGGTACTCAGCGTTCCGTAACCATGACCAACAACATTTAACAAACAGGCCAAATCACGCAAACAAGGAACGGTCTGGGGAGAAGTCAGGGGCAGGCTAATGCTAAGAGCAGCAACAAACTAGGTACCGTTTGTTTTACCACCCCAAATGGGCAGATGATATGCGAGCAATGGCACTACTTATGGGCCTCGTGTGAGATTGCGCACTGCGAGATGGCTCAACGCAAGGCTCTTTTCACTGTTGTAGCAGATCCTTCGAGTGAGGCGAGGCAGAGCAAGGCCGCAGGGCAAGGCCGCGGATCGAGTATGAGGCGCAACAGCGCTCGTGTATGAAGCACCAATGGCGTATGTTGGCAGTGTGAGGTGTAAAAGGACCCGGAGAAATACGAGACATGGCCCTCCTCTTCCCTAAAGACAATAACGTAATCGCAGAGAATAGCCTAGTCTCGCTAGGCATCCTGAAGAACAGAGGTCACTGAATGCGGCACCGAGCACCCCAGCCAGTACGAAAAGCTGCATAGGTTGGCGGAAATAGAAAAATGCTGTTGGTCGAGAGGCCGACCAACCTGGCAGAGAGGAGGCAGGATGCCTCTAATGATGGCCTTTTGCGGCGAGCAGGTAGGTCTGTAGTTACAGTGCAGGCTCGCTTACTGCGCTATCGGTACCCAATCGTAGGTGGTTTTAAGGCGGGTAGACGCGCGCGTATGTGTGCCGCTTGCGGCCTAGCGTAAAACGCCGGAGAGGTCGCCCATTGGCCGAGCAAGGGCTGTGCGGGCAGCAGCAAGGATCCCTGGCTTGTGGAGGGGGCGTGATCATTATTGTCCAATGCGGATCGAGATAATCCCTACTAGCGCGTACCGACGGGACGGATCGCACTATGCTAGTGCGCATTAGCGCAATGGGGCACGACGCCATCAGATGAGTGGCCAGACGCGGGGCCGAACTCTGCTGCGTCGTCGCAAGAACCAGCACGCGGGCGAAAAAGAGAAAAAAAAAGAGCGAGAGGCCTGCCCCCTTGCTTGGCTCTCAGTCCCAGTCGGATCATCCACAGGCTGGGCCTATCACTTTCGTTCTCGATGACTCCCTTCCCAGGCCAGTCATTCTGTCATTCCGCTTCGGTTTTTGTCCTCCGGCTGCGACGTCGTGCTACCACCGCTAATCATTCGTCCAGATAGGGGCATTGAAATGGTGTGGCGCTACTGCTCGGCCTCTGTCGTCAGTCGGCGGTCATCCCTCCGACTCCCCCCATGCTGATGCTCCGCATTTTGGGATGTGCCGTTATTGGAGTTGCGGCAAGATCATGTTGGACAGCTTTGTCGAGTCAAAGCGGGAAAAAGAACCAGTCAAGGCTAACAGCAGGAAACGTTGATCGTTGGCACGATCGCTTCGGCAGTGCGTTGAGAACTACTGTCTCCCGTTGGCGAGGCAGGCTCAAAGCTCTGCAGCCGTCTGCTCAGGGCAGCGGAGCCGCATATCTCAAGCTCATGCATCTCTCTCTCGGCCATTGCCATATGGAGTACGGCTTCCTCTCGGACGAATTCCGCCAGAATACCCCATGCCGAATGGGTTGCTGCCGCCTTGCACAAAAGTTCGACATGACCTCGACTCCGCTGCGCGAGATTTGAGAATGTTACGGTCCCGACAGCGTGGAAATTAAGGCAAGACCTCGTGCGTTCATACAACTGTGGACGGGGGTATCGGGCAGCATATGCGATGCGACCTGTACGCACTCGAGCGATGCATTTAGGTGGGCCGCTGTGAGTATAGAGGACTGCTCCGTATTACTCTACCATCCAATGGTGCTGAAACTCTGTCTTTGTTGTCATGTCTCTCCCGCCTAGGCCTTGTACTTGACTCGGTCAATAGCGACGGGCTTAGCATTCTCGTAGGGCAGTCGGAATTGGCTACTGCGTGCACTGAACTCTGCTAAGTGGGACTGGTGTCTTGCCAGCTTGCACTGCGTGTTTTGTCAAGGCTGTTCGACGTCTCGGCAGCATGGCTTTCCGAAATCTGGCTTGGCTGCTGCAAAGTGCACTAGCTGTGGCAGAAGGAGATGAGAGCCAACCATAATAGCGAAAGCGGGAGCACCAGGCGTTCGCTCTATCCTGAGGAGTGGCTACTGTCTCTCATGAAATTTGCTCAAGGAACAGTGCTGCGCTAGAGGTCAGAGGCGTCAAGAGTGGAATCAGTGCGCATGAGCACGGAGCGTGGCGTGGCAAGCTTCCGCTACGCTATTTGCCTGGGCATCTATTGAAAACACATGATTGCCACCTGACAAGCCATTGAATGATGTGATGTGATTGAGTGACTGGCTGAATGGCGGAGTGAATGGAGGGCACATTTAGCATTCTCCTAGCTAGCAGTCATGATCCACTGGGTAAATAAGCAACACAAGCCGCGCCCCCTTTCAGGGACATGTCAATCGACAGCTGCTGATCTACCGGCCGGAGCCAGGCGAAAGAAAGCGGGGGAGAAGGAGCGTCGATGAAGAGACGTATCGAAATCGTAGTCTGTAGATTAGATCCTAGCACCTCTGTCTCTCTGAGCTGTTTTGAAGCAAACGCCGCCATCATCCGAATCGACATACAAGCAGCCGTCGGTCGCGACGGGTATCAGCCTTGGCTTTGGGCGATCATCTTCCTCCACGGGGATTGCGGATACGTCGTTGGGGCACACTGGTCGGGAGGCAGCTTTTAACGCAGACCGCTCTGATGCTAATCTCCTAGACCCGTGGAGTAGAGGCTTTCGAGACTTGGAGGTAGCTGCAGACCGAAGCTAGCGGCACTTTCAATGAGATGCTAGGCTCAGGGCACAATCCAAAGCGTGGCCTGGCCAAGGACGGCGTGGCTCTCTCTTTGTGGGATAGATTCTGCGCTTGAAGTTAGGGCGTGTCACGTCTGCCGGCCGGCTCCTGGCAAATGCTGTTAGGGCCACATACATGAAGAGTCTGGCTTTTTTTTTGTGGCCACGACCAGCTGCGGCAGCGCCGTAGGCTGAGACGAGTTGCTAGAGCTTTGCAAACCGCGGTTGACGATGAAGATTGGCTCCAAGGAAGACGCCAATGTGGACATGGCCGGCAGTTTTGGCCGCACCGTGCTGCTGGCGATGTGGTGCAAAAGGCAGTGCTGCGGTGCGGCCCATTCAAGGCAGACTATGAGAAGACGAGATAGTTTGCCTTTCAGACTGCACATTGATACTAGCACGCAGGTACGAAGCGCTTCAGCAGCCCGTCAACTGTCCTTTGCGCAGTTCCTGCAGTTTTCGAGATGCTCTGGAGTAAGGCAAGAGCTAGCGTGCGGAGGCTTGTACTGGTTACCGCTCGGCTTGGTAGATGGCGTCACATTCCATCAAGTACATAGAACCTCTGCCTGCTGGCTGAGGAAGAAAGCGCACTAGACCCAGCTGGGACGACGCTTCAGCTAGGATAGCCCTGCTAGTAGTAGGTCGAACTGGAATTTTAGAGCAGTGAATGATTTCCAAGTCCCCACCGCCCGGCGGATCCTGGTTTCTGCCACTTGAGCTATTGAGGCTCCCTCGCATTGCCCTCACCATTCACCTCATTCGGAGAGCTGCGAGAGATGGCTGACTACTAGTACGATCTCGGCAATCGCGGTGTCTTTTGTGCTTTGGATGCTCATGCCTTGAGCCGGGGTTTTGCATCTCCCAGCGCACCGCGGTCTGCCTTCGGTTTCTCCCCCGTGGCGGCTGGCTCTGCCTTGGATACGATACTACGGATCTTTTCCCCTCCCTCGCATCGAACACCCCTTGCAGCCGCTATGCCACAGATCTGGCGCGCAAAAGATTTTCAGCCTTCATTACTCTTTTCAAAGGCGGCGGTGGAGGGTCCAGCTGAGCGTCTCAGAGGCTATGATATCACGTCTTATAGCGGCGGATGTGTCCATCATACTAGCTTTTGCCCGCGATGCAGTCGGGGCCCCGATGAGCGTCTTCACATGAACAGTGGGGATGGATTTGGCCCCTGCAGGAACCATCTCTGCGCAGATATACTTTGCTCCATAGCAGTTACGAGTATATCGCCGACAGATTATTCAAAGCTGAAAGGCTCACTGCCTACCTACCTTGGAACGCCAGTGGCTCTTCGAAGCACTTTCAGATGTCTCAGCTGGTTCTCCATAGTCAGTGACCGCCCCTGGATGTATAATCTTTGCTTGTTTCGATTGGCTCACAAACGCATATGAAGCCGACAGCAGCAACAACAATTCAAGGGCAAATCTATTAATCCATTGGGTAATGTCCGATGATCACGTCCGGTACTGGATATATACTCTGATATTGGAATATACCTACTACGCATCTAATTACACGTAGTCGCCCGTGCTCACCGACCACCACCGGGGCAGAAATGATCGAAAGAGACACTCACTTCCCCTTGGTCTAGTGTCGCCGCTGCTATTGATTGTTCTCTGGCTCTGACTCGGCCTCTTTTTAGCATGTCCTTATCCCCATCCAGTCGTATCCGACAGCCAGCAGCTTGCAAGGACGGCCTTTCTATTGTCATGTGTCCACCGCATGCTTTTGAGCTGCACTCGTCGGACTAATTGCAGTACGTACTCGATACAGACGGCGGTGGTGCTACTGCACACACACAAAAGACACACTCGGCATCTCCTTGGATCTGCTAGATCTACGCCCCCACCTGCTCGCTCCCACGCCCCGGTCTACTCCAGCAAAAGCCCAATCTCCAGTTCGACGTGTTCTAGCCTAAGTCGCACCCTCGGCGGCTATCTCATGCACGGCATGACAGTATCTGCCACTGTACGGTACATTGCGACCGCCGCCCTGCCTGCACCGACAGGGGGCTTAGTTCGACGCCATACGACTCTAGCTGCACTCCCCGACCCCCCGGTCGATTGCTGATACCAGGGTCAAGAACAGCGATCCCCTGTATGCTAGTCCCACGCTGTGACACTTTGTACTGATTTTTCGTGCTCGTCGACTCACTTCCCTGCAATCTTGGATGCTACCTGAGAGCTCGCCCGGCTGTTGATCTGAGCCTCCATTTATACAAAGACTGTTGCCATCTCTTCCTGTCTCATTCCCCTCGCAAGATTCCCTTCTTCATCCACCACTTGAGCAGCTCTTCTGTTCTCCCCTGCCAGATCATCAGCACCTTCGATCATCCACCGCCGCGACCAAGGCAATAGGCGGAATCCTTCACCTTTGACGACTCTTTGCCTATTGCAAATAGTCCACCCCTCATACCCGCCTTCCAGGCATCTTTTCCCTCCAATTACCTGGTACCTAAACGTGCCTCGTTGCGAATCCCAAGCGACACAAATCTCCTTGTTCTTCTTGGTTTTTAAATACACGCCAGCTATTACACCAATCAGCTTCAAACGTTTGATTAAGCTGCTGCGATTTGCTACCATTTGCATCGCCGCCAGCATTCGAACCGTCGGCTTGTAAAGGCCTTACTGCCAAGCTCCACAGCTGCAGTACAATCGCACTTCTTTTCTCTCTCTCTTTCTTCTTTCAATCGACAAGAAGTCCTTGGCTGGTTTTTGGAAACGTCCAAGGCACTTTACCCAAAGCTCCACCTGCATGAACATGGTAGAGCAACAACAATACATTACTGCAGGTCTACCACACACAGGTGACCTCGCAGGATCTCACAGCTTGTCTGACGACCGATCCATCGTGTCTGTGGGCACTCCAACCTATTCAGAAGTGACGCCCTTTTCAGCAGTACGTATTTCCCGCCTTTGTCCTGAGAACCTTGCTCTCTGTTTGGCCGCTTTGCACCTCTTTTCTCCCCAATCTTGTCCTGCCTCTTGCAATGGCTACAGGCTTACCAATCGTTTTTTTTCCCCATAGGTCTCTTCTTTTAACATCCCTGCTTCGTGCGACTCGAGCCTTCTTACTCCCATCTCTACCACCAGCTCTCCCCCGCTCCAGCAGATCCGTAAATTAGGGGCGCAGTATCCCCCTCCTCCGAGTACTCCCTATACACAGGTGCCAACCCCTCCTGGAAGCTCCAAGATGTATCACCAGCCGTGGGGCAGCCAGTTCGACATGCACAATCAAAATGCGCACAGCAGCCCCCCAATGAACAGCCATGTTCCAGTGGCACAAGACTTCTACATGGAAGAACGCCGCACGCCCAACCCTCCGTCGGAGCCATACTATGGAGCCTTCAGCGTATCCGATGGCCCAGACACGCAGCCAATCCACAACCAGGGCCCGGCGCCTTATTATGTCAACAACATGGGCATGGACAGTCAAAGCTCCATGCTGATGCGAGACAGTCGTCAGCTCCCATTGGATCCGCAACACCGTGACATGGAGCGCGTTTCTCACCCGCCATCCCTTCTCAGCCAGCCGCACAGTTCGCACTATGACATCCGGCGAGCCAGCACAGATGATCGCAGCTATAGCAGCCGTGCCGACCCCATTCACCGCTCTTCCAGCGGTTCTCCTCGCCGCCGCCCTGTGACTCAGGGCAGCACGCGGGTGAAGAAAACAAGGTCGTCAAAGAGGGGTGGCTCGCTTCGTGGTCAGCAGCAAGCTGACCCCGGCGATGAACACAAAAACTGCTTCGGCCAAGAAGTCCCTCCACCCATCAAGAAGGGATGCCCCGAAGAGGAGAGATGCATCTTTGAGTCTCGCTGGAGACACCGCTCACAAAGGGGCCAAGATATGTGGGACAGCATCCAAGCCGACTTTACCAAGAGGTTTGGCAAGAAGCACGGCAAAGAAATGCTACAGATGAAATTCAAACGTGGCCGTTCCAAGTTCTATGACTGGCTTGACCAAGATGTAAGTCGACTATGCTATTCCTCCTCCGTCCTGCTCCTCACGATGCTAACGGCGTTATGCTATTCAATAGGAGAAAATACTCGAAGCCGCTTACAAGAGACTAGAGAGAGAGAGATATCAACTCATTCTCAACTACTTCCTTGAAATGGGCGGGTCCCGAAACATGCTTCTAAGCGCCAGCGACATCGAAATCAAGATTGTCAATGACCTCAAGTGGGAAGAAGCGATTTATATCGAGGGCTTAGACGAGTGTATCCGCCGCCGCCGCAAGTCCGTTGTCAAGAAGCGATCCAGCGGTCGAGGAGAACCAGGTGGAGACATTGCTGTGAGCGACGACCTATTGCGAGTTTCACAGGTCCCTCACAACGAAGACGAGGTGATCAATCAGGTATTCGCCGCACGACGAGAGCGCTGGGACGACGACATGTCTACTGTAAACGGTGAAATGATGAATGCTCATTTGTGGGAGAACCGGGCTCCGATCAAGATGGAGCATGAGACTCTACTTCCTCCGTCTGAACATCTGGCACGCATCCACGCCCATCCCGTCGCCAGCCCTTACATTCCACCGGTATCAGTGTACCATCAGTCAAATTCAAAAGCACCTTGATGTGGGGACTATGGTAGGCGTCAAGGCCACAGGGGATGAAGAAAAATCATTCGGCAAAGGAAGATTTTGGGGTGGGCAATACCCCAAGACGTCTCTTTCACGCTCTTTTCTTTGTTTTACTATTTAGAAATCTTCAGTCTTCTCGATGAAGAACCACCATTCTTTCTTTTTTCTAAGATATCACGCATTATTCTTGAAGATTTGTCTTATTTATTTGTCTTGATTTTTTCTTCTTCTTAATTTCTCATCTAGTCTTTGTCACCTTTTTATCATCTTTCTCTTGTTCATGCTGGTATAGCCAAGGGTTTGGGGGGGAGGCGGGCTTGGGATGACTTAAAGACGGATACAAATCTCACGATATCTTTAGATGCATAATGTTTTTGGCTTGCTGAGTTTACATCGCATTGTCTATAGGAAACTCCGTCATTAAACGCATGAGGAATACCTGCATAAAATAAACAATCAATACAACGTTACTACGATATCGCGCTTGACTCAGTCAGGAGAGCAAAGTCTTTGTATCCCGTTTTCTGTTGATGAAGGACTTCTACCACAACTTGGCTATGTACCTACTAATCTATCTTTTTACGACAACTGAGAGATGGCATATGTCGGCCATAATTAGCCAGGTGTACACGGCGATAAAGGCGGGCGGCTTGCGAAACTGTGGGCCGCAGACAGCTCGCATTCTGGCTAGGCCATATCCTGCGACCATGGCCCGGAAGGTACTTGCTGTAGGTGTGTGGACGCTGTGTCTTCTCTCTTCAAGTTCTTTCCGCACGCCTTTGAAATGGCCGAGAAACACCGAGTAAAAAGTACCTGGAGTGCAAAATGAAGAATTCGTACTGTGCGTTTTCTACCTCCTTGTAGCTGGGCGCTGTGCATGCATGGCATGGACGGCTGTTTGATTTACTGGTGACACGGCTATAGTGACCGCTGTACGATTTAGTTCAGGTACCGTACCCAGACGCACCCAACGTTGGTGGAAGACCTCCCAGCAAAAGTCGCCCAGTGCTCAGCATTCAACAGCAACAGCAGTCATCGTTTTCTACTTCAATAATAATCTTCAAGGAAAAAAAAAGGAAGGAAGCAGAAGAAATAAAAAGAAATAAAAAAAAAGACGCCAAAAGAGAAAAGGAAGGAACGTGAGGGGGAATGGGACAGAGTGGGAACGAGAAACAGCAAGGCAAAAAAAAAAGCAAGGAGGGAGAAGGCTGCAGCGCAATGCTTCCTCTCATCGCAAGAGCTACGTAACAGTCAACGACTCCAGCTCTTTCCCTCGACATTGCCTGAATGAGTCACATACCAGACAGCTGATATGGTACAGTCTGCGGCTTAACCGCTTTCTCTTCCTTTTCGCCCTCTCCATCGCCATCACCATCTGCTTCCGCCTCTGCTTCTCTCCCATTCTGTGCACCCTCGGCCCACGCATGGCCTCGCACCGCAATTTCATGCTGTGGCCAGCTTGCTCTCACCTCCTCGCCTCTTCTTTTTGCCCCCTCCAGGGTTTGTGATGCAGCTGCTTCTGCTCCAGGCAAAGCGCGAACCCGACAGTTGGGAACTGGTGGTGTGGGCTCGTCGCGGTATGGACGGCCAGGCCGTGTTGCCTGTTGCAAATGCCTGCTGGGCGCGTCTTCTGAGCCCTGAATGGACAAGATGCCTTGCTGTTTCCACCGACCTTGCATCGAGACCTGGCCGCCCCCGTTTTTGCCTGCTTTGCGGTGGCCCGCGAGAGGAGAAAAGGCGAGATGAGACGAACGGTCGCGGGTTTCCATGGCATGGCTGGCACGCCAGCCACAGGAGTCGCTTATGGTTGGATGCTTGAACGGTGCTGCAGCAGCCCTGCCGGACCTATGAAGGGCGCGTTCTGCTGCCAACCTTTGCGAAGCTGTCTCCAAGACGGCCGTACGGAGGCGCTTTGTTGGTGGCCAGCGAACAAAAGCCCAAACTCGGGCGCTTTTGGCTGCGAACATGCAGCACACACCCTTCGTTGTCGATACGCATTCCCCATATGGAGCAACTCTGTACTGCAGTGCTCTGACAAAGTACACTCTCGTACGAGTACCTACACCTTGCTCCCCTGGCTCTTTGCCCGTTCCCTGTTACGCTACAGGCGGAGTGACAGTGCGTGTGTTTTCACATGCGAGCACGCTTGCACTGTCCGCCCCCCGTCTCCTCCGACCCCATTGACAATGAGACGCTGGCATTTACTGTGCTCTTCTTTTGGCTTTGTCACTGCCATGGGGAAAGATTGAGATCATCTTTCTTTGGTCGCGCCAGAGGAATGTTTACTGCGAGAAATGGCTCTGACAATCGTTAGATGCTTGGGTTGAGAATGCTCGAAACTTGGATTTAGCAGCCCGCACGATCACAAAACGATTAGCTAGCATGGTCAGCACATGGCCGGCTGGCTTGGGATCGTGTCGCTTAAGACCGCCAGGGGAGCAAACCTTGGAACAGCTGGGGCTGAGGCCCAAGCTCGAAAATCATGATCCAAGCACTGTTAGTGCAGATGCGCTAGATGGTAGCATTGCAGAAGAGGTGCTATTCAGCCAAGCAGAATGCCTTCCCAGAAACGAAACACGAGAGAAGCGAAGAAGCGGACAAGGGCGACCTTGAGCCCTCTTACTCAGCCTTTTGCTTATCCTTTTATTCCGTGTCTATCTTTTTATCAAGTTCACATTCGTGCAAACAGTTCAGCTGCTGCTTCTAATACTACCGACTCTTAGTGCTTGGCAGCACATGGCAGCACGGGCAAGATAAAGTATCAGATGTGCCCACAATGTCAAGCCGGCCGGCGGATAGGGCGCTTGGTAGCCGCCTCGCCATCGATCCCGCTCGCTAGGAGAACAGCTCGATCGGCCAGTAGCCGCGCAGAGAGAAGCCTTTTTGAACGTCAGTTCGCTATTCGCATTGCGATTTCGACGGCTTTGCCCGCTCTTTCCATTCTATTATTTGCATTTTTTTCAGCGTGCATCTTACTTTCTGCCTTGGCCTTGATTTTCGGGCGGGATTCGCGGATGAACACAGTCACACTGTACGGCACACCCATACCCTGTCGGTCCCGACAGTCTGGAAAATGACGCGGTGGAAAGCGGATTCGTAATTTGGGGTCCACGCCTCCCATGAAAACAGCAAACCAGGCGAGGAAGAAGGAATGGAGGGCAAGGTTGGGGGCAAGGGGCTGTCCCTTCCTCCTCATTTCCCGGCTTCTCTTTCGATCTGCGGCCTCTCGACCCCGAATAGCAAAGCAAAGCAAATCCAAAGAACTGACTGTGTCAGAGTATAGCCGCAGCGTGTCTTCGGTCAGGTAATGGCAACTCGGCTGGCGGCCGTGATTTTGGCTCGTATCGACGGCGCGCTCCGGCCGGCCGCGGGACGTAATGCGGAGTCCGTGTCAGCCGACGTACGGAGCAGTGCTCCAACAGATCGATAAAATGGCACACAAGCAACACTCCATAGGGGCCAGTCGTGTGAAGTAGGAGTGCACTTTTGCATACCGTACGGGTGACATATGGTATCCTTTCGAATGGACACACTTCATACAGCGTATGCATGGAATAATCCTATTCGATTTCGTTCATATCCATCAAGATGGTGCGGCAGTGCAGTGCATGCAAAAGTAGCATTGAGTACAAGCACACGCCCTCGTATAGCAGGGATAGCAAAGCCAGCGAAGCAAGCCGTTCGATTTATCCACCCATACGCACGCCCAGGATTTTTTCTACCTGAGCATCCAGGTACCTAGCCATTACAGTGAGCTACTGTACGTGACAAGCGAATAGCCTGATTTCTGCTGTTCGGCTTCTCGAACGTCGTTCAAGGATGAGGGCTGAGGCTTGCGGACGGTTCGCTACATGACAAGCTTGTTTGGTCATACGAGCGACACACCCGACAGCTTCGAGAGACTGTACGCGGTATGAGGTATACACAGCAACTTGTGTATATGCTGATTGCTGTATACACTTAGGAATAAGGCGGCTATGAGTGGAAACCTACAGTCAGGTGAAGTCCTAGAAGGTAGAAATACAGGGCCATCGGAAGAAAAACAAAGGCAGAGGCAAGAGGGTTGCAATGCGTTTGGCATCATGGCCATGACACCTGCATCTCTTCCCGACCGTGTATGCCGCAGCTGCTCGGGAGTTGATTTGGGTGCTTGGGTGTGCGTGACCCCGGGCAGTGAGGAGGTGCCGAGGCTAGGCGGAGGAGTGGTGTGCGATGAACGTGATGAAATTTGCGCAGAGACAGCACATGCTACCAATAGCCAATAGGTAGGCAGCACTGGTGTACCTACTCTACTGTACTTACATGCCTACTATTGACAGAGCTCAGATATTTGATAAGTCATGCAGCAGGTAAGCAGCAATCACATTTTAAAGCAGCCATCTGCACTGTGGTAAAACCCGTGTGCAAATGGCATGTCACTGCAGCCAAGATGTTTGGGATTAGTATACCCTTCCATCACCGCCCTTGGCGCTGCTACTGTCAATTTGGAATACCTGTCGTTGCAAGGTCAATGAACGAATGGCATACGGGAACTACCAGAGCTGGAAACCTCCGCCAAAGCAACGGCGTGTCAAAACTGCCAAGTACTTCACATTGACGTCGAATTGGCTCTGAAGCAGCGTGATTGCCTGAGCGGGACGGTCTTCCGGGTCGATACACAAGTTAGTGAGCCTGAATTTACTGGCGCCATCTATTTCCGATCTGCTAGTGTACCTATTCTGCTGTGCAAGTCTCGATTAGGCAGACAGACTTGGCCAAGTAAGGTACCGACAGCTTGCATGCCGCTGTGCTTCTATGCTCCATACGCTGTGCCTGGAGCTTTGTACCACCAACTACTACCTACTGCACTGGAAGGAGAACGGGAGGCTCTTTTTCCTTTTCCTTTCTTTCTTGTCGGTCAAGGGCTCTCATGCCGTACAAGGCGAGGTGAGTGGCTAATCTAAGTGTGAGGCTAGATTCTTTCATTTTCTTTCAGCCAGCCGGGCTGAAAGACTGGCTCTCAAAAGCTATGGCACGGTCCTCGCTCGGCATTGCAGACGTCTTGCTATTAGTGACCAGTTCTTCAGCTTTGGAATCGTTTGTACCAATTGAGTTGTTCTCCCGGAACCTTCATCTCGTTGAGTTAGCGACAACTGTAGAACCGAAGAACCCCCTGCCCATTTCAAGTAATCCGGCGCTTGTCCTGTTGCGGCGAATACTGTTCTGTCCTCTTGCAGTAAATAGGTATTTTTGCTGCAACAGGACAAGCGCCGAATACTTCCACCTATCTAGCATGATCCTCTGTATCTTGTCAGTGCAGACTGCTTGAGCATTTTTGGTAGTAGGTACACGTATAATGCATGACAGGCCAGGAATTTGCTCGCCTAGGGAGACACACCTACAAAGCTCACTTCTTTCTGAAAGTGGAGCAATTCGAACTTCACACTGTCCTCTCATACTTCCTGCACGGATGCTTTTACTATTCAAGACAATTCATTTCCGCTGAGTACTTTCTTCTTGAAGTCAACTTAGCGTACTGGAAAAGGATTGAATCGTGGTCATGACCAAGTCTTCATTTACGTTACTGCCTTTAGGACACCGCTATATTCGGCGCTCGCCGAGAATATAGCTATGGTTCTCAGGCTAGTAGGAGCTGATGACACCAGGGGGCGTCGTTGTGGCACTCTGCAGAACTGGGCGTTGTTATAGTTACACACTAGACTATGCCAAAGAGGGATGGGAGAATTGCCGAGATGTTTGATATTCGCTGCCATAGCACTACTGGTAGTATGGAGTACGAGATAGATTTCATCCCGATAACATGCACCGGCTAATAGGCTGGGGAACCGAGGCCGCTTCATCAATCTTGCAATTTGTTGCAGGGTTAACACTTGAACAAGGGGGGGTAGCTCTAACAGACGTTGAATTGGTATGGCTACGCCGCCTGCCAATGTCTATATCGTCACGCATGAAAACTTTGAATCAAGATCTGCAAACATTGTACTTGGAAAGTACACTAGTTAAGGAGAATTCCCTCCGTATCTTGTCTCCAAAGTATCCAATTCTATGACGGCTACGGACAGCAAGCACAGACCATTGACCAAATCAGGCAATTAAGCAAACATTTGAACTAAAGAGACGAACGACCAACAGTTAGTAGGGGTTTTTGTCGATGTTTTCAGCTACAACTGCTAGTTACTGTACTACTACTGGCCGCTAAAGTAGGGGCGAGCCAAAGCCGCCCTGGCCTCAAATGTGAGGGCTGGCATAATTAGCCACAATTTGCCGCGAGTCGCGTGCAATGGGGTAAGTTACACGGCATTTGACTAGCTGATGTTGCTACTTGTAGACCTTCGGTGAAAGCGAGCAGAAGAAGTAAAAGAAAAAGGATTTGGAACAAGGTGTTACGGAAATTTGGGGGCGATTTTCCCGAACATATCACCGAAAACGTGCTTTGTGGTGTTGGTGGCTTGCTGTATTACCTCGAACTAGTACGGTAAGGTAAAGTTCCAGGTGTGGGAGAACAGAAGTGCCGTGCCGAGTCTCAGATTTGGCTGTACTACCCCAGTTGAACGCTGGATGATTCTTTTTCTAATCTGTACAAGACAGAATACGAAATTGAAATGCTGTATAGGCCCGTGATAGCTTGACGCCCCCGCCCCTCCCCCCCTTTTTTTTCCAACTCTTCAATGTTCATGATGTCAATGGAACAAGTAGATATTGCAATGTCGGCGATATAGGAGCTTGAGCATGCCACGTGGAGCTTTAATGACTGAGGGTGGGACAAGCCACGAGGGCGTCATCGCCGGTTGCCGAAACGAAACCTGCCATTGAGCGTTGGCTTACGTATTCATCTCACTACTAAATGTGTACAGTACGCCATTTCCACAAGGCTGAGGGGGTTAGGCCAATTCAGAATGTAATGTTACATGTGGCAAGCGATCTCAAGTGTTTATGGAGTATGTTGATTCAAAACATGAGGAAGGGGGCGTGTTCCTTGGAGCATTGTTCGCCATTGAGCTCTCCTCCACAACAGTATGGAGAGAAGGACAAAGATTTCACGTCCATTCGGGCAAGGTACGCGAAATGACACGCGGAAATATGGGAATAAAGGAAGAATCCGACCAGCTAGCACGTAGATCCGAGGCTCAGAGGCGCTTCGAGAGCAGCTCGCACTAGGGGAAGCACGCAAGTGGAAGCCGAGAATCCAATGGAGAGCCCTGGAGCTGCTTTCCTTCTAAGGCAGTAGACGAGGAAAGCCTTACAGAGAAGGCCCCATCTCCAGGTTTCTTCCGAACACTCCGCTCCGCTATGGAAAGATGCGAAGAAAAACCCTGCCCTGATTTGCAGCGTACTCGTTATGGGCGCTTTTTAGCGTGATGATCGGGGTGTCTCAGGTTCTTGCGCTAAAAGGGAGGAGGTTGAAAACGTGGAGACCGCGTGTGCTGTTGTGGAAAAATTGAGAGAGAGAGATTCTTGCAAAAGGGTCCTCTTAGCCACTTCACCGTCATCACGCGGAGAAGGATCTCACCGGCGTCTCGAGGCGTGGTTTTAGGAGATTTAGTAGAGACGCCGACTAAAAGAAGCCGAGTGTGTTCGTCTAGTCGAGTAGAAGTTAAATAGGGAGTTTAGTTCCACGGTGGCTTCGTGGCGGCTTCGTTATTGTTGAGCTAGCCACGTGGAATGTCCGAGATTAAGGCGTTTCTTCACCTTTAGTGCAGATGTTCGTATGCATATGCTCATTCGCCTTTCGACCATGACCTCGATGAGGAAATAATGAAGCAAAGACGAAGCTGAATAGCTTCACTTAGGGGCTAGCCATGTGGTTTTCCATCAGCCTCTTTTTCTGAGGTGTGAAACGGTGGTGGCTACATCCTTTTCTCCTCCCTAGAGCTGAGCTTGTTTCTCCCCTTCTTGATGTACCTCTCGGTGTGAAGTCGTGTTATCCATTCTTTTCTCACTAAGACATTGTGTGAGCAAATCAATGGCTGCTTGTATGATTGAAGGATCCGTAGTGGCCGAAACGCAACTGCACTCGCACCAGGAGTCCAGCAAACTCCCAACTTTCACCGCCAGCATTTCAAATAGCTTCACAGTGTATCTTGGAAGCAACTTGTTCACGAATTGAATTCTTAGGGCTGTCCTTCGCGCGTTTCACTAGCGCTGGGTCTCGCGGGCCCTAAACGCCAGGCTATTGTACATCACCCGTCGCCTCGCTGCGTTCCGGAACCGATTTGGCTAGAAGTGGTCGTTTTCATAATTGCCCTACGGAACTACTACTGCTGTTAGTCGTGTTAGCGGACGTAAATGCTGCTAAGATGGTTCCGGGCATACGAGTACCAGGTTTATAGGTATGTGATCTTCCGGGCTGGAAAGCCGTGCCAGGATTCGGCGCAGCTAGAGGCGCTCACTACAGCCGAGGGAAGGCTGAATTTGAGTTTTCCTAAATTAACAAGAGCAAGGGATCGATTCCCTATGGCTCTAGCCATGTGCTGCAACTGCCGCTGGATGGAACACAATGTGAGCAGTCGCTAACAGAGGGACACAGAAAGGGGAGGGTGGAGGGTTACTTAAACCACGATGATTAGTGGATGAAATACTACAAAAGTAGAGAGGAAACGGTTCTCTTCTCCACAAGATGATCAACAAACCCTGTAGCACTACTAGGTAATCGGGGGAGGGCTGTCAAAGCTGCCATGAGCGGAAGCAAGTCTGTCACCGGCCGGGCTTGATTTGCGCGGAGCAGAAACCTCTGAGCGGCTGGCACTTGCAGGCTTCGTGAACGCGGCTGTCGCGTATCTTTTCGATATTAGTGGCGGCTGGGATGGCTTTTTGAAAGCTGCAGCACGGAGTTATTCAACTGTACCGTCTGTCCTTTCGCCACTGCCCTACATTCCAATACCCCGAATGTCCTTCTCGCTCCTGGGTAGCTACAGGATATCATCAAGGCTGCCATGACAATAGCAACCGCAATACAAGACATGTGAAGCACTGCAAACGATCCACTTTGCGGGTCACCAATTGTCCTTCAGCCATACGGGATGGAAGCCATATGCGGCGTGTGTCCAAATCTAGTCCTCGCCTGCCAAGCGAAAAGAGAGAGAAAAAAGAAGACCAAAAAGCCATATCTGGATGAGGGGCGTGCCGTGGAAATGTGACACGATTGTGCCCTGGGCTGGGGTGTGGGACACGTCAATCTTTTTCGATTGAACTGAATCACACACAGCCGCCTGTCTAGATTTTGTGCTCTTTTCTCTTCTTACCTCTTCTCCACCCCCCTTGGTGACGCCTACATAGCCCATCAGCCATGTGATCTGGAGCCGCCCCTCTGTCAATGTATCGTTCGCCTCGCCAAGTCCACACAAACCTGCTGCCGGCGATTGCCAAAGACGGCACGCCAATACCTCTTTGTCTCTGTGGCCACAATGGATGGACAGGTGTGCCTGGAGAAGGGGAAGGGGTTCCTTGTCACGGACAGAAGGGAAGTACAAGCAATAAGAAGTGGTATCTCCGGAGTATTTGGAGTGCAAATACTCTACACTTGTACCACCCTGGGGGAAAGAAGAGCATGGGTGGGCAAAGTACTAGTAAGAAAAAAAAAATTGAGTGCAAGTATAGCCGTCAGACAACGGAACGTGTCCGTTGACGCTCGATCGGTCGACGTACAGATACAGATCCATCCCTCTTCGGCAGGGCAAAGCAGGCATCCGATCGCTTGTGCGAATGAAGCTCCGCGCGGAAGACGAAAAAACTGGCGCCTCGTGCTGCAGGCAAGGACTGGACTGGTCTCGCCATGCCATGCCAATGCCACGATGCTTGAATATCGCCTAGCCTCGAGTAGGGGAGAAAAGGCTACTGCCCCTAACAGCAGTAGCGACGCCATCACTGCATGGAGCCCTGCGCAGCTCGGCCATAAGTGGACGAGCCCAGTCCATGATCAGCCTTCCAAACGCCCCCCTTTCCCCTCTAGCTTGGCGCCCGTTGAGATTGAACGAGGATCCTCCGCTCCCCTGACAGCATCGAGCTAGCCAGCACAGCAGACAAGTACCTACAGTACGGATCCCTTAGCCCACAAACTGTGGGGGATAGCTGCTGATCTCTCGTACTTCCTAGATTGGGCTTCGCCGCAACAAAGAGGAGACAAGATGGCGCGACAACTTGCTCTGTTTTTATTAGTGTGAGATGCTAGCACGAGATTCTCTAGCCTGCTAGTACGGTTCAGAAGATGCGCAGAAGCTTTCCGAGTTGCTCTTCATTTAGCCTGGCGGGGAGAGCGATCCGGCAGTAGTTTAGTAGCGTTTGCCTTGTCTATGATGTTCCGATATGCTCTGTTTTAGGATCAACGTCCGGGATGGACGCTTCCGAGGCCTTTTGAATAATGTCAAGGGCTAAGTAGTCTTTTTGTATTTATGATGTATTAACATTTAGTTCGAATTCACAGCATACATGTGTAAAATAAAAATGGTGCGGAATTAGGTATATGAGAACGCGCAGCTCGTATTGGAGGAGGCAGAGTCCACGCAGGGAACCCACTGTCAGCCAATGTCTTTTGACACTTACTTCTTACCTTATTACCCCCCTTTCCTATCGACCTATCAGAAGCACTCAAATAGATCGACTCAAAAGGCAAACCGAAAGGCTGAAAGAGATAGCTTCGAGGAGGGATCTCAGATGGCGGTGTTGCTCATCGCCAGGCCCATTATCGTGGCCCAATTCGCAAGGGTGTCTCTCATGAAGTAGAAAGCCCTACCGCCTTGAAACTCAGCCAATTGTTCCAAGTTGTGGAACAGGGCGTGCGAGATTGCTACCTTATTTCCAGCAAATCATTGCTGATTTGCAAGGGTTCTCTTTACTCTTACTCCGTAACCCGCATCTATTTGAAAATGTGGCGTTTTTTTTCGGACGAACTCGAGCATCCTTCCACTGCGAACATCCCAGATACCTGGTGGATAATACCTGGCCGGACTCCGCGTGGCTCGCGCTGTGCTGCTTTTGTCTATTTCCTAGCGTGGTGGAGATCCTACCGGGGAGATAACGGGTTTGTCATTAGGAGCAGTTCGTGGCCAGGGGTCCGCGAGAAAAGGCATGTCCAGCCAGGCATGGATGCTGAGCATGGGGTAGTTTCGAGAAACAATCGCCGACAGGGCTCGTATTACCGCCGGCGCGCTTGAGCATAACTTGATATTCTGCGTCTGTTGGACGTATCGGCAGCTCGTTTCTGAGCCAATTCGAGGCGAAGTCTTGCAGGTCCTGCTTCAAATAGCCCATTTGTGGCGTGGCAGTGACTCTCAAACTAGAGCAAGCTTGACTCACTAGCCAGGTTGTTGAAGGAGTGGGATACATGTTCATGTAAGGATTCATATTGTTGCTAGTTATAGGCACGCCCGTAACATCAAGAATTTCTATTCGAAGTATATCTGTGCCTCTTATGAGGCAACATCCGATCCCTGTTCTTGCTGCTCTCGCAGTTCCAGCGATGCATTGATTAGGTGGCACCTAACACAGGTGAGTCGCATGGTCAATTCCTAAGTAATTTGTGGCGTATCTCGTTTAGATATGAGATGCATCAGCTGGCTCCTTGGTCCTATGTGTTTGTTGGTATAGTAAGGTAGACTAGCCATCAAAAGCACCGAAGGATCGAGAATCATCTGATGGGAATCAGCTAGTCATGTACTCGTATGAACTAGTCATTGGAAGAGTTGTCTCTGCGTTTGCTGCCATGACTTATGAGACTTTCAATGCTCTTCCACCAGACTCAGATGCCGTCCATAGACGCTGCCACTGAAATAAATGCCGGTGTATGACTACACCCAGGTAGTACATTGCCGCTGCTGTTACACGGCCTGCACTTGTAGCTGTCTACCTTTTCGCCCTTGTCCGACTGGACGCTTTCTTTGGAGAATACACGCTCTGGCCCTTTTATGTTGCTAGCGTCCTTGGCTCTGTCCTGCAGAAACATCTTTCAGTAGCCGAGCCTGTTGACAATGTCGGTTATATTGAGCCCAGGTTGCAGTGTATATTGGGGCCATGTTCCTTAGTTTGGTCGTATTTGCCCAGCTGCTCATCTCATCGTATTCCAGCCAATCATAGGTACACGAACGAGGCTGCAGCTGTCAGATTGTGCGCCATCGATCAAAGAGCTCGTACTGTCACCAATCACAAGTCCAGCTCACTGTGCAATAGCCCGAAATACGGACAAAGGGTTGTCGACCTGCATTGAATCACACGAATGGCAATAAAATACCAACCAAGAGGCGAGAGCATGAGTCGCAGAGTCGCACGAGCCGGATGCTTCCCTGGATCTCTAACCGATGGGTAAATATTGAAGTTCTTTGTCAGTAAAGCCTTGTTCGAATGACTCATTACTCTGTCCTATACTGACACTGGAGAACAGCCTGCCGGGTAAACAAGAATGACAGTCCAGCTGTTCCTAGGCTGGAGGTTAATAGAGCCGGAAAGAAGCATACTCGCGGAGGATGCGGAGGATTGATAAGCAGCCATTTGCGAGCTTCTTATTGGGTAGAGTGCGAGACGCTAGGACGAATGCGTCGCTACTCCAGCCACATTTTTGACACACCAGCCACAGATTTATGTACCTGACGTGCGATCGCCGTGGCGCCACAGAAAAGATGACAGACAGCACATGGCGATGTGGCGATTCAACGGCCAGACTCGGTGACAGCGCCGTTCGCAATTGACGTCTGCTATAGAGCCAGATTCGCAATAGTAGAGAGCTCTCAAAGGGCTTCTCGCTTGCAAGCAGCTCTATGCTGCCGCCGCCTTCGATCCTCGCCTTTCTCCCCCAATGAGTCGCCCGGCACGTGCCAGCTTCCGCGAACGCCTTTGCTGCGATATCAATACTCTTCGAAGCGCTGCGGCTCCGGGCCCAAGATGATGTTGTTGGTGGTCGCATTGCTATGGCTAGGCCACTCGCTGCTGCAGCCAGTAGGGGCCATGCGCTCAGACTATCTGGCTCAGCTGCGGCAGGACACGGTAGACATGTTCTATCATGGGTATAGCAACTATATGAAGCATGCGTTTCCTGAAGATGAGGTGGGTTTTATGTACCGTGTTAGACACGTCAAGATACAAGTAGATAGAAGGCTGACTGCTACGCTTCCGATGTTTTTAGCTTCGCCCAATAACATGTACTCCCTTGACGCGAGATCCTCATAATCCTGGGCGCATCAACTTGAACGATGCGCTTGGCAACTACTCCTTGACTCTTATAGACAGCTTGTCTACTCTTGCGATCCTGGCTGGTGGACCGCAGACCGGATCGTATACCGGACCGCAAGCTCTGAGCGACTTTCAAGATGGAGTGGCCGAGTTTGTACGGCACTTTGGAGATGGAAGATCGGGACCATCCGGTGCTGGGATACGTGCCAGGGGCTTCGATCTGGATAGCAAAGTCCAAGTGTTCGAGACGGTTATCCGCGGCGTGGGAGGTCTATTGAGCGCACATTTGTTTGCTATTGGGGAGTTGCCCATTACTGGATATGCACCCAAGCCAGAGGGAGTCGCGGGCGATGATCCCCTGGAGTTGGCCCCTATTCCGTGGCCGAACGGGTTCAAGTATGATGGCCAGCTACTGAGGCTTGCTCTGGACCTTTCTGAAAGATTGCTTCCTGCATTTTATACCTCGACTGGCATTCCATATCCTCGAGTCAATCTCCGCAGTGGCATCCCCTTTTATGTCAACTCTCCCCTCCACCAAAACTTAGTCCTGGAGGAGCAAAGTAGCAATCCAGAGATCACTGAGACCTGCAGTGCTGGAGCTGGAAGCCTCGTCCTAGAGTTTACAGTCTTGAGCAGACTCACAGGAGATCCGAGGTTCGAGCAATCTGCTAAGCGGGCTTTCTGGGAGGTGTGGCATCGCAGGAGTGAAATCGGCCTGATTGGCAACGGGATTGATGCGGAACGAGGGCTATGGATCGGTCCTCATGCAGGCATCGGCGCAGGCATGGACAGCTTCTTTGAGTACGCGCTCAAAAGCCATATCCTTCTCTCGGGCCTTGGGTTGCCTAATGCTTCTGTCTCGCACCGACAGAGCACAACCAGCTGGTTAGATCCGAACTCCATACATCCTCCTTTACCACCCGCGATGCAGACATCGGACGCTTTTCTTGAAGCATGGCATCAAGCTCATGCGTCGGTCAAACGGTATCTATATACGGATCGGAGCCATTTCCCGTACTACTCAAACAATAACCGCGCCACTGGCCAGCCGTATGCTATGTGGATTGATAGCCTTGGTGCATTCTATCCAGGGCTCCTGGCCTTAGCAGGCGAAGTGGAAGAGGCTATCGAAGCAAATCTGGTCTACACTGCTCTTTGGACCCGTTACTCTGCGCTGCCGGAACGCTGGTCCGTCCGCGAGGGCAACGTCGAGGCGGGCATCGGCTGGTGGCCAGGCAGGCCCGAGTTCATCGAGTCCACATACCACATCTATCGTGCTACTAGAGACCCCTGGTATCTGCACGTCGGCGAGATGGTTCTCCGGGACATTCGGCGTCGATGCTTTGCCGAATGCGGCTGGGCTGGGCTTCAGGATGTCCAGACGGGAGAGAAGCAAGATCGCATGGAGAGCTTCTTCTTGGGAGAAACAGCAAAATACATGTACTTGCTATTCGATCCAGACCACCCGCTGAATAACTTTGATGCCCCCTATGTCTTCACCACAGAAGGCCATCCGCTCGTCATACCAAAGAGTAAGAGAGGGGGTCCTAATCGGGAGAGCAATCGCAGCATAAAGAAGGGCAAAGACGTTGCAGTCTATAGCTATTACGATGAGAGCTTCACAAACTCATGCCCTGCACCTCCGCCACCTATGACAAATCAACTAAGCGGCTCGGCCACCGCTGCCAGGCCAGACTTGTTTTCTGTTTCCCGATTCACAGATTTATATCGGACTCCGAATGTACATGGGCCTGTTGAATTGGTTGAAATTAATGACAGAAAGAAGGGCCGAGTGATGAGATACAGGGCGCTCTCCAACCACACCCTTTTCCCATGGACTCTTCCGCCGACTATGCTCCCTGAGAACGGCACTTGTGTTGCACCTCCCGAGCGAGTTATATCATTGATCGAGTTTCCGGTCAGTGATCTTACCAGCGGCATGGGGGCGCACTTTGGCGCACAACTGTCGTGGCAGAGCCATCTGGGGCCGACAATCACCGTACTAGAGGGGCTGCGACTTCAGCTCGAACAAGTATTTGACTCTGACTCGGGCACCTATAGGTGGAGGATTACGCATATTGGTAATACCCAACTAGGCCGATACGAAACAGTTTTCTTTCATGCCGAGCATGTCAGACATCTCAAGGACGAGGCGTTTTCGTGCAAGAGAAGGAGGGACTTTGTGGAGATTGAGCTACTGGTAGACAACCCAGAGCAGAATAGCAACAGCACACTCGTGGTTTCCGAGGATCTCATAGCAGCTGAGAGCGATGACATAATGGACAACGACACACTCAATGTCGAATCACTGGCTTCCGACTCATTATTTCAATCAATACTCCGCGCTGTGTCTTCTGTCTTTGAGCCGGTTTATACCGCATTACCAGAGTCCGACGCAAGCAAGAGCGGCGCCATGATATATAGCTGGGACGCCTATACATCCACCGGTCCCGGCTCATACCCCGTGCCGGCCATCTTGGATACTCCCATCACCGGCAACCCGTTCTACAACTACAGAGACCCGGCTTCCAACTTCCCCTGGTCAACCGTCTACCTCGCAGATCAAGCCTGCGACGGGCCGCTCCCTGCGTCTGTGGCTCGTGAACACCAGGTCATTGTCATGCTGCGCGGAGGGTGCTCCTTTAGCCGGAAGCTGGACAATATCCCTAGCTTCTACCCAAGCGAGAGATCCCTCCAACTAGTCATTGTTCTCGATGAGCCATCTGCTAGCGATATTGATGACGATGAAGATGACGATGATGACAGAGGCAATATGCCCAGGCCGCTGCTAGATACAGAGCAGGTGACGCCCAAGGGCATGAAGCGCTTACATGGTATTCCCATGGTTCTTATGGGAGCTTCAAGAGGCGACTATGAGCTATTTAGACAGGCAACGAAGGTTGGTATGAGAAGAAAGTATCGTGTTGAAAGCCAGGGGCTCATCGTGGAGAATGCCGTTGTCTTGTAGTTTTCTTGGAAAGAAGGCTTGATGGTGTTGAAGAGGAACAATTTCATATAAATACGCATATAGCAGCATACATACCATTACCTACATATACACACACATATAGCACGTATACATATCACGCAGCATAGATACACAGCGCTTGTTTAGGATAGATATAACCAGCATGAGGTTGGAGAGGAATTCATCCAGGAAGATTGGTGGATATTCCAGTCATTTTATTTTCTTTTACTCTAATTTTCACTTGCTCGAGAAAAGACTTTTTTGAATATTTAGATGGATTCCGTGTTTGCAAATGTAGCTCATTTGAGAAGCATCGGCCCCTATGAATATCATTGTTGCAATTCTTCTTTCCGCTTATAAAAAGCGATATTACCAGTTGACGAGGAGCTTTGACGCGCCTTGGCTAAAATCTCCTCATCACAAAGAAAGAAAACATCAAAACAACAAAAGCAGCTGTTTGGAAAATAAAACGGTAGAGATAGATATAGTCAATCATTGCATCTAGCTGTTTTCCAACAACAAAGACAGCTTCTAGACTCGCCTTGTCCTCCAGTAAGACGGAGGCAGGCCCGGCGTGCTGGGTAGCTGAAAGAATCTGAATTGTAAGATCTCAATCGTAGCAAGTATTCATTATAATAGCGTTCACCATGATAGCATCGGTTCTACGATAACATGACTGTGTTTTGAGGAATCTTAGACATCAATGGAACTGGACTGTCAGAGAAGCTCAAGCGGAGGTTCGAAATTCTCAAGAAAACAGAGAGATGATTTTCATTGTAATAGAATAATTCCTTTTAGGCCGTAAATGATCAATTATACTTCCCATCATGACCCCAGCAGATATTCAATCCAAATAATTCTTCTAGTCTTTGCTCTTCCACCGTGTGCTCTTCGTTGTTGAAAATCGTATCCCCCTTTTCGTCTTCATCTACTCCTCCCAGCTTCTCCATAGCGTAATGTGGTCTATATCGTATTATGTAAAACGTAAAAGTAGAGATGAGAGTTTGTCGTAAAGCAGACAAGACAGAGAGAGCACGGCACCCACTTCCCATTCCGAATCAGAGAAGAAAACGCTTTCCATAGTCTATTGGTTATTTGATATTGTAATATGCGAAAGAAAATCCCCGTATTGAAAAAAAGAGAAAAAAAAAAGTAAAAGAAAAAAAAGATTTGTAAAACAAAGAGTTTAGGAAAGGTACCCAAAGTCCAAAGAAATGATCCAAGCAAACAACTTTTGATATATATGTAAAAAGTTTGTCGATAAGGAGGACCACAATAGCCAAGCTTACAGCCCCAGCAGAAGAAGTTTCGTTCGTCTTTCGCGCCTCGAGTCGATTTTCGGCGCTGACAAGTGATAGTGGAACATCCAAGTGGCATTTCTCAATCGACTAGAGCTGATGGTGTAGAGAAATTGATGCCAGGCGTGTCATCTTTTTGCTAGAATGACGCTGCTTATCGAGAGAAGAGGAGATGGAGCCCTTTCTCGTCAAAATTAAGGGTTCTCAAGGAGAATAGTAGTAGGAGCGCTGAGCTTATCGCGACCGTTGAGGCCGGGAATCTCTAGAATGAAAAGGTAGCCAACAACCTGGCCCTTGAGCTGGTGAACAAGATCTGCCGCCGCCGCCGCCGAGCCACCTGTATACAAAGTTAGCATTCTGGGCATTACACTCGCTTTTATTTTGCACATGGAAAGGTCCAATGGGGCCCACAAATGGGAGCTCTGGACTTACCCGTGGCAATGATATCGTCAACAACCAGCACCTTCTGGCCCTCGGTGATGGCATCTGCCTGCATCTGGAACAGATCCTTGCCGTACTCCTTGATGTACTCGGCCGTGACGCAGGGGCCTGGCAGCTTGCCCTGCTTTCTCACAGCGGCAAAAGGAACGCCGAGGCGCAGGGCCACGCCGGGGCCAAAGAGGAAGCCGCGGGCATCAAGGCCAACAATGACATCGGGCTTGTTGGCGCCAAACGACTCGGCGATTTGCAGCTCGAGGGCGGACAGCAGCGTGGCATGGGCCTCGGGGTTGGCGAAGAGGGGCATGATATCGACAAAGCCAATTCCCGGGATGGGGAAGTCGGGGAACTCGCGCAGCGTCTTGCGCAGGCTTATCTGTGCACCGGCGAGTTGGGCGGTGGTGGAGGAGGCGGCGGAGGGCTGTCGTCCCGAGGCATCTTGGCTGGTGGTGGAGGATTGGTTGGTGGAGGACATGGTGAGGAAGGAAAAAAAGAAGAAGAGAGAGGGGAAAGAAGAGAGAGGAAGTAGAAGAATAAAAGAGGAGGTTAGGCAGACAGGATGCAGAGAGCAATAGGAGGAGCAGATTCTGGGGTGGTGTGAATTTTTTGTTTTGGGGTGGCAGGATAAGCCCAGATAGGAATTGGTTTTTTCAGTTTTTTTTTTTTTTTCCTGCTCCCACAGTGAGCAGCGCAGAGAACGGCGCGCGCAAAAAGGAGGGGTGGTGTGTCTTTTTTTTTTCTTACTCTACTTTCCTTTTTTTCCCCTACCAACCTACGTCCCTCCTTCCAATGGAATTTTTTGGTGGGGAAGCTCGCAAAATTCGCAGCAGGCAAGAGCTGCCCAGCTCAATGGAGGGGGTGCACACAGCAGAGGGGAAGGCACGATACGATGGCTACTGCAGCTTGTGTATCAGAACCATTGCTAGGTCCATTGGCAGATTACTCCGGCGGTACCTGCTCCATGCACGCAGCGGCCGTCAACGGCCATGTCCCGGGCCGGTAGCCAGGCGCTGCTTGGATCTTGGAGCCCCGGTCGAAACAGTAAAATATGGAGAGTCGAGTAATCATGCTTGTCGTGTACCTCGATAGTGCTGTGCTTGGCCCTTGACACCTGCAAAAAGCATGGAAAGGACAGCTCAGCCCAGCGCAGGCACAAGCAACGTGGCAGCCACAGCAGCTACAGTTAATTACCGGGCCTGGTCTATGTGCAAGTATGTTGTCAGAGAGAGACAATTCGCACCGGCCGTGATGCTGATGTCGGTGCTGATGCTACCTGACGCTGAATACCTGGCAGGTACGGAAACGATGGGTACAGCTAAGATGCCACTTAAGCATGCAGGCACTATCACTCCGTAGTGGCAGCAACAAGCGAGCCTCGGAGTACGACTTGGCAAGTCTTGGACAAGTCTCCTCCGTATTACAGTAGGTGTTTGCTCCCAATTGCCGACAGATGGACGAGGGAGCCTCTGATGTAAATGAACTGTCGGTGTGCGTTTGCTGTTGACTAGAGCAGCTTATCATGCCGGCGTCCGTCTTCTTTGGCTTGCTACGTGCTGTACTACTGCTACTGCTACTAAGGTCAATGGCTCTCGTGCTATTACCTACTGGACACGGCTCTGGCTCAGCTCAGCCGCCCGGATAAAATCACTCAGGCGAGGTTCCATCTGCCAAAAGCACCGGTGCTGCTGCTACTTGGACTTACTGTACGCACTCCTCCCCAAGCCGGCAAAGACTGCGTGCGCGATCAAGGTCCAACGATCCTAGTACCTGGTAGCAGCAAGTATAGCACCATCAAATGCTTGTCTAGCAGGTCAGTAAGCAAAGCAAAGGCAGGTCGCGGTAGGGAGCGGCTCCTGCTAGCAGCGCGAAGCTGGCCGCTGAGCTGGCCTCTGCTTCAACCGGGCCGTTTCGTCGCAGCCCGATATGAGCGTCTTCATGCCGGTTGCTCCGTCCGTGCCCAGCTATTGTGGCATAGCTGGCACTGATCTTTGCTGGGGACAGACTGCAATGGCAATAATGCCGTTGACATGTGTACTACTAGTACTGCTACCAGGTCAGTAGTACGAGTACGAGGCACGATGCCTCGGATTTGGCATCTACATGTGGCTGCACATGCTGCCAGCTCCGGGGAGCAATACAAGTACGCGCAGCTATCAATGGGGTTCCGAGGTGCGCTCTCACCATGCCAGATTCGCGTCCAGACGACGGCTGTGATCCAACCACCGCCGCCAACAAATGGCCGGCCAAGCCTCAGCCCAGGCGTGACATTCATTGGCCGCAGAGAGACGTGCGGCGATATGCATATGCGGGCCCATGGTCGCTGTCTCGGCTACGGAGCTCGTAAAGTAGCTCTGTCCTGTAATTGATGGGATGAATACAATGCCTTTTTCTTTCTTTTCACTCCTTTCTTCTATTCCTTTTTTCTTCTCCCCTATTTTAAAAAGATTCATCTCGCTTCCCCCCTCTTATTAAGTTATCTGGCTCATTACTTACATGCAGCCGCCCTATTGTATTACAGTATCGCGGGTGTGCCAAAAAAAAAAAAAAAAAAAAAAAAAAAGAAAAAAAGAAAGCTTCCGTCACAATATGCAGCATCATGCCATGATTTGACCGACCGAGCTCCAGTATAAGACTCCATATATGGTTTTGCTTTGAGTGCGAGCAAGCCCGCCGCCACCATGGAGCACACAATGCGACCTGTCATGGCCACTACTGCGTGCTCCTCCGTTCAGACGCATGTGGCCGTGCACAAAACCTGTTCACCGAGTCTGCTATCGCGCTCACAAGGCACAGTTCATCGCCACGGCCATCGTGATGGGGTTGCAGCCGCATCGGCCTGGAACTAGGCATCAGCTTGTCATGCAACTCGCACACACACCACCTTGTCGCGATAGTAGCAGCAGTAGCAGCAGCAGTAGCAGCAGCAGTAGCAGCAGCAGTGCTCCAATATCAAGATAAGGCTGGCACATCTGCTCAAAGCTTACCCACCTCCACAAGCACCCGTTGCTGCAATCTCTTCCGTCTCCCCGATGTGGCTTGCTCTTATTGTAAGCTCGTATCGTAATGTCTAGACATTGATACACAGGCACGGTGCGACGTGACTGGCTGGAGACTGATACAAAACCTAAACTCTGGCCAGCGCCTCTTCTTCCCGCTGTCCGTTGTGGCACGTTCCTGTCGTAACCGTCGTACGCCTATTACACAATCGATGGCGTGAGGATCCAGGCACTTTGCACTCAGCCCTTAATTACACACCTTGTTGGGGAAAAACATGGGGGGGCCATGCCAGACATTCCGGCGGCTAATACATGTGCCATTCGCTGCAAGCATCTATCATTGACTGTTTCGGCGATGGGATAATTGGACACGGATGAGTCAAGGCTCCGAACGGCCAGCTGCAGTTGGAAAATGCAACCAAGCCCACGCCAAGCCCAGCCTATAGACTGAACTCCTCTCAATCTCGCCCGCCTATTCGTTCGTCTATTCAGAAAGAGCTCATTCATCCATTGATTCGACACTTTTGAATTGCTGTCTCCAGAGTGGCTTGTCCAAGTACTCACGCCATGCCCAACTCACGCAAGCTCTCCAGGTTTACAAATAGTTATACCAGACGCTTATGCTAAGGCACATTAACAATAATTTGATGGAGTAATCCCCAACACCCCACCAGCTTTTAGAGTGCGCGGTGCGCGGTGCCGCAGCCATTTGAATTAGTCTCGTCACCTCATCGCGTCGCTGTCCACTGGCGTCTTATATAGCGGGCAGAAGCGGTGAAAGTGGCCCTACAGCAGCGCCGAGTGTATGATGATTAAGATGGCACATTTAAATTCACTATAATGAGAAAAGGAGTAGATAATACATCTCACATGAAAGACACGCATGGTGTAAGCAAACAGCATGAGGTTTTACCAATATCAAATGCGCATGGCGCAACTTTCAATTTGGTAGAAGCCGCCTTATCGATAAGAATGTTATGTAAGCAAGCCTGCCGGGAATGGAAATTTTGCTCCTCTCAGAGTCCCAATTCAAAATCGCATCTCCAAAGCCGCAGCCCTGTGACGACATCAAACAAAATCACCCATTTTCCGACCTCAGCGAAAACAATTGAAAAAAGGGACAAGCCGAGAGCAATCCTGATTCTTTGGAAACCTCCTTTTCAACCCTCATCTCACAAACGTTCACAACATAAACCATGTCTTTCCTCGGAATCGGCCGTCCTCAACCTACGTCAGAGCAGAAGATTGCTGCTGTCGAGGGCGAGATGCGCATGATGGCTGATACTTACAACCGGTAAGTTTCGATATCCCTTTATCCTACTCATCTCTATCTCTCTCTCTCTCTCTCCGTCGGATATACCTCCTCTATATGAAAGTGGAATACTACATCACCTCAGCCGAGAATGAAAACTACGTAATGCTGATTCCAAAAAAAAAAAAAAATAGACTGCAAAAGACTTGCCAGAAGAAGTGTGTTCCTTCCGACTACCGCGAGGGCGAGCTCAACAAGGGCGAGTCTGTCTGCCTCGACCGCTGCACCGCAAAGTTCCTCGATACCTCCATGAAGATCAGCGAGATCATGCAGCAGCAGGGCCAGGCCATGGGTGGAGGACCTCAGGGTGGTCCCGGAGGACTGTTTTAGAGGAAAGAAAATAAAAAAGTCACCACAACAAAAAAAAGCCATAGAGAATATTAGGGAAAAAAGGAGTAATCTTTTATTTTTCTTTCATGGCATTTTCCTCCCCTCTTTGTTGGATGTCATGCGTGTGTACGAATATAAATGAGAGAGAGAGCTGTCTGGAAATATGCGGCGGCGACAAATGTTTTGAAAATGGAACTTTGATATTAAGGGATCACAGCATATACATATATATCATATCAAATGTATAAAGCTATTCAAAAGAGTATACTGGGTGCTGTCTAGGCGCAGCATCATCATTGTGATGAGTGAAACATCTCCCTCTACGAAATGGTATCTATCCTCTTGCAAGAAAGGCAATAAATGTAAAAGAAAAAAAGGACAGAACAAAGATGTCGAAAGAGGAGCAAAGAAATAAAACGCCAATTCTCCACGAATCCCGTTTGAATGCATCAATATCCAACTCCAACCCCATCCATCAGTAAATGCTAATTAAAATGAAGTAAAGAGGGAAACAGGTAATAATAAGCAACGAGGGGGTTAAACTCCAAAGGATGCAAGCTCGCAATATCATCAGATATTACGAGTAATGTTGGGGCCAGTGCCCACGCCAGTCAAAGTTCTCACAAACCAATGCAGCCAGCTCTCTGTCTCGAGCTGTTTTCTCAGCTCATCGGCTCGTCTCTCAACGTCCTCGACTTGCCTCTCAAAGTTTTTGATGCCGTCTTCAACATCGTTGATTTTTTGCACCAGTGCATTGATTTCGTAGTCGAGGCGTGCCACAAGAATTTCAATCTCCTTGACACTCTCTGTCAGGCTGGCACGCTCTTCTGCCAGCAATTCGTCGGAGCTGTATTTGACTCGGTGATAGATCTCGCTCAGATGATGATGCAAATTTTGTATCTCAGCCTTGTCCTTGCCATACTTTTCGTCAAGTAGATGGACGAGCTTGATCTTGTCCTTGATCCATGGCTCGATACCATATACAATCCTATCGATATGCTGAGCGAGGTGGCGAGCGCTTACCGCTCTGGCCTCGGCTTCCTCATCATCTGTTTCGTCCATAATATCAATGAGTTCGTCCCATGATAGTACGGCTTCTTCAGCATCGCCAAATGACATGCGACGTGCCCATCTGTTCTCATTGAGGGTCCGTTTTGTGTGTAGCTCTGCAAAGTCACCACAGCTATGACGCCTTGATAGGGCCAGCTGGTGGAAATCTGTTCTATTCCTGATGCCCGGGCAGATGACTTCAATGTCGCTTTCGTTGGCAGTTGATGGCACAGCAGATGGTGCTCTCCGGTGCATATCAGGGCCGAGAATTTCTAACGATCTGTCCGACTCTCTTGGCTTCCGTTCATATTCAAGAAGCCTTGCGGCTTTGAGATCTGTTGTTGACGAAGGTGAAGATACTGCCACAAGTCCAGGTAAAACATCTGGATCTCCCCGTTTAATGGCACTGAGATATTCTTCCGGCTTCGTTTTCCACGTAAATGCTCGGCTCACTACGGCGGCAGGGCTCGGAGGTATGCTGAAACTCTGCAGCGCATTGGCAGAGCCATTTCCGTTCTCCAAAACTTCCTCTTTTGTTGATATTGATAGACGGGTCCCGTGGCCTCTTCCCCTGACACCGTCCTTGAGACGTCCAAAACCTGATCGAGCATCGCTCATCTTTCCAGCAACGCTCTTGAACACAGTCTTATGCAGCCCATCCTTTTCCCCAATGCCCTCCAGCATGCTAACTGTTGGACGAAGGGCCATGCCAGCATCAGGGGATAGAAAATCATCTTTCTGCTTCATTCCAAGTTCCTCCTCTACTGGTAGGGAGTGAGCTCGTTTATCAATCTGGCTGTTTGCGTTAGTCTTTGTTGGAGATAGTCCCACGTCGTTGTCGTGGTCATGCTGCTCTAGGGGAGTTCGGCGCGGCTTGCCATGCCAAAGCCATTTCGGTCTCTCGCCATACACCAAGCTAGCAAACTTTTCAATGTCCACGGTTTCGATGTCTGCAAGACCAGCCTTGTCTTTGCCGGATACCATATCCATAACAATTTCTCCTCTTTTGCCTCCAATTTCCGTCACTGTCGACTTAATAGCTTTTTGTACGCCCCAGTCTTCCTTGACTGCCGCTTTTGTGGTTGCTGTGTGTAATTTAAAAAGCGTCTGCTGATCTAGTCGCCGCGTCTTGTCCAGTTTTTGTGCTTTCTGGAAGTATGAGATGCCGCGTTTCGTGCTCTCGAGGTCGAAAACATCCTTTGAGACGGGGGCACCTTGCCAGTGCAGTCGGTTTCTCGCTCCTAATAGCATTCCTAGTAGGGCCGCAACGGTCGACGGCCCTAGAATCCCATCGGTCGGTTCGTAGTTGTAATGCTCAGCTCCAAGATCTGTCCACCAGTTGTTAATCGCCCTCTCCGTAACATCGCATAGCAGGCCATCAATGTAAGGCTGTTCCAACTTGTCGAACATAAATAGTGCAACCTGGCAAAGTTTGATGAGCTCGGTGACCGCTTGGTTGAAGGGAACGCGGTCACTAATTCTATAGAGCTGCTGAAACTTGGACTGTGCCGCCTCGGTAGGTTCTGTGAGTGTCAAGCCAGACCGTCCAGAGCACCCTAGTCGTTTCAAGTCCTCGTTCACAACGAAAAGGTGTCGGTATTTCCGCAGATCTCCGTCGGGCACAGCGATGACCGTGAGTGACGATGGAAAATTGCTGAGGTTTGTAATCATGAGCTCTCCAAGCTCAGTATTTTTGGGTCGCGCATGGTTTTGTTCCGTCTTTTTCAGATATAGTCGAACTTGTTCGGACCACTGGCTCTCGTCTGTTGATACCGCCAACACGCCAACCACGATGGAGTCTTTCTCGTCGCCGGTATAGGTCGCAATAACTAGAGTCGGTGGTTGCCTTGAGCACGCCCACTGCTCGACAATGTACAGGTCATAGCCGCGAAGGACGCTTCGTCGTTGAACCACCTCGACGCATGGATCGGTCTCGAGATACCTAGATTGGAGGGAGAAGAAGAAGAAGTTAGCGGCTATGCTGCCATGGGGCTGGCCTTTCTCGCCGATCTCCAAGGTCAAACCTACTTGAAGGCGATGGGATCTGGAAAGACGAGGTGTCTCTGTGGCAGTCCAGCGCTGGATCCCGATGGCCCTGCGGCGCGATACGAAGCCGTGTCAACCATCTGCGTCTCCGTGGGCGTCAGGTGCATGTAGTAGTTCCCATCCGGATGAGTAGATCGAGTGGCGGTGCGTCGGTCCAGCCTCGACAGTCCGGAAGAGTCGTCGTCTCGGTAGACTCTCCCGTCCTGGGAGAAGGACGGCATTAAGGACATTGTGGAGTTCGCCAGCCCCTGGAGGCGTGAAAGGCCAGGTCGGGCTAATCAAGGAGCATCTTTGAAGGCCAGAGAGCCGGGATCTGGGACAATGGCGATCCTGGAATTTTGGCGCCTGGCTGCACTCGGTCACTGTGGCTTAGTGCGCTGGTGGTGCCGGCATGTGATGTAATAGAGCGAAGTAGTGAGGTGGTAGCAGCGCACTATTGGCCACTGCTCCATACAAAGTGTGCGCTGCATCTTGAACCTGCAGCTACTCGGCATGGAGTAGCCAAAAGCTTGGCCTTGCCCAGGGCGGGGCAAATCTGCTCCTTAACGGGGCTCGCCTTAGTGAGGCCTCTGAATCACGGCTGTATTTGAGCAAGCAGGGCTCCGCAGCAGCGCCGTCATTTCGGCTTCGCAGCTTTTATACCCAGGAATCCATGAAAGCAGGCAATGTCTAGTGTCACTTGGATAGGTGCATGCATATATATGCATGTATGTGAAGATAGTGAAATGGTAATAACGCGTTCAATAGAGGGGCTATAGAGCAAGACACACAGCAGCAATGCGTTTCGAATTTGGTGTACGGTATGTAGGTAATGAGGCACCAGTTATTGCGTTCAATAGTGGAGGCCGTAGCAGCTATTCAGTAGGTGCGTGCCATTCAACTGTGCACCGAAAGCCGCCTGCGTTCCGACCTATCGATAAGACTACGGCGGTAGCAGCACTACTCGGATGACAACCTCCAACCTCGCTTCATCCAACTTATACCTAAGCCAAACAACTTCTTGGAGAGCCCGTCCGCAGGGCAGAATTGGTTTTTCTTTCTTGCTCGCTCCCAGATAGCTTTCTTTTGAGCTCTATGATCCATTGCATTCTATAGCCACATTGCTCCACTGCCAAAGCATTCTTGCCAGCGACAATGGCTGGCTCCAACGATGACATTATCTCGCCATTTGGTCCGCTGCAGAATGAACTGGCACGGATGAGAGGGGCGAATCTCAACGCTGCTATCCAAGATGTCGACAAAATTATCGAACATCTGGTAGCAGCTCGGGAGCAGATTGCTGCGGGTACGAATCCTCTGTCTCGAATCCTCATCGCTTGACTGGGCTGGCGGCTGACGTCTCCATCTTGCTACAGCTGACGCCGACCATCATCGAATCAGCATGGAAATGACAAAACTCCAGAACCCCGTCAAAGGACGACTTGAAGCCATCAACAACGACCTCAGAGATGTGACCAAGGCGCAGCGGAGCTTCGGAAAGGCCCTCGACAAGGCACGCCTCCATGTCCACCTTCCCTCCTTCGTGTTTGCAGAATGCTAACTTGCAATTTCTCCTCCAGGCCTTGCCGCAGAGGGAACTACCGATGGGGACAGATGCCATGGCGGATCACCCATCTCTCATAAACCGCGCCATAGCCATGCATCTCGTCCGAGAGGGCCAGTTTTCCGTTGCATCGACCTTTGTCCGCGAGTCACGAGACCACCAGCCCCCCCTCTCATTAGAGCCCTGGTCTCCCCGTACGGCGCGTACCGATGAAGACGGCGATGACGACATGCAAGGAGGCGGAGAGGAGGAGAGGCTTACCGGACATGGCGTCAGCAACTATCCCGAGGACCTCCAGGGGCAGTTTGCAGAGATGTACAGTCTACTGTCAGAGCTAAGAAACAGGAATCTAGGACCAGCTATCAAATGGGCACGCCAAAATAACAGCAGGCTGGAGTCAGCGGGGAGCAATCTGGAGTTTGAACTCTGCAAGTTGCAGTTCGTGTGGCTTTTCAAGGGGCCCGTGATCAATGGACTGCCTGATGATGAGAGGAATGGGGCAAGGGGCGCATTAAGATACGCACAGGAACACTTTGCTCGCTTTCAGAGTCGGCACCTGAAAGAGATCCAGCGACTTTCCGGTGCAATCGCCTATGCACCAAACATTGAGCAGTCTCCCTACCGACACATCTTCCAAATCGATTCGGCATTCGAAGATGTTGCCGCCTCATTCACCCGCGAGTTCTGCTCTCTATTAGGCTTATCAGCAGAGTCACCGTTATATGTCGCCGTCACGGCCGGTTCCATTGCTTTACCTCGACTTGTCAAGTATAACAAAAACACCAAGGAGAAGAAAACAGAGTGGACGACGGAGAACGAGCTGGCATTCGAAACGCCTCTCCCGCCATCCATGATTTACCACTCAATTTTTGTATGCCCTGTCAGCAAGGAGCAGACGACGGAACAGAATCCCGCCATGATGCTCCCTTGCGGGCATGTGATTTGCAGGGAAAGTCTGCACAACATGGCAAAGGGCTCAAGATACAAATGTCCGTACTGCCCGACCGAAGGCCATCTGAAAGACGCCATCAAAATCACGCTTTGAGTCCCCCTCTCTTTTCCCCTTCCTTTTTTCCTTCCTTTTTTCCTTCCTTTTTTCCTTCCCTTTTTGTGGTAATGAAAGGGGAGGATTTGGCTTGATATCTATTGATAAACGAGGAGGGCTTTGGATCGTTTTTTGACGGCGTTTTACGGTATTTCATGTTCAACAATGGCCTCGTCTCCATTCGCTTATTATTTTTTCGTCTATCAAAGCGAGGATAGTATTCTTTCCACAGCATGTTTTTGGGAGGTTCTTTTCTCCTCTTTTCCTTGATAAGCAACTGGGTATCTACCTATTCATTTTACAATTCTTTCTCCAGGCGAAAATTACAATCATAGTGTTGGATCAACTGTAGGATGTAAAGTGCACTTTTTTTGTAGGATTAGTGCTGTTTCAAATCAGAAACAAATCCCAATATATAGCGTAGCATCGCACACAATAAAGCCTCATCTCACCCCCACCCCGGCAGCTCTCTCACTCTCAGCCATCTACTACCTCATCGTAATTTGGTATCGACGACGACATAAACATGTTTATTAGAAGGCATAAATCAGTATATTCACGACAAATGAGAGATGAAAGAGAAAGTCTGTAATCAAAGGAAATACGGAGAAGAAAAATAGCACAGATTGATAAACAACGAATATCATCACATTAAAGAAAACATAGCTGCGAAAAAAAAAATTCTTTTTTCTTTTTCATAAGAAAAGCAAAAAAAAAAAACAACAAAAGTAGTCAAAGGAGTGACACGGGGTCATCTGTAAGCCACCAGCACCCTTCGATATGATGATCACGGGTATCCAAGAAATAAACTCCCCGCTGTCTTCGGTGATATTTGCGAAGCACAGATCCAACGCCCTTAAATTGCTTGAGCCTACTTGATGAATCAAAGAAACAGACAAAGAAAAATAATAGTTAACAAAACAAAAAAAAAATTGGTATCCATTTAATTTACGGGATATTATCAAAAGATCCCCCCTCCAACATGGCCTTTTTTTCGGCAGTCAGTTAGCCTTGATATATGAGCCTGCTTTGACGCGGCTGTTATTGGATAAATAAAAAAGGGGGCCAACCCGTTCCCTTTCGTAAATTCGTGTCTTTTATACATTTCCCACATTCTCCGCGGCCTGGAGAATGATCACTTTTCTCTCTGCGCGCCAAATGACTCCTCTTAGTCAATGGTCATGCGGTTCTGCATCGGGGTCTTGACATCGTTCATGCCGAATGAGTTGATGTCGTTCTTCTCGTCCTCCTTGCGAGCAGACAGCAGGTGAGCCTTGAGGCCCGAGCCGAAGTTGTGCATGCAGATGATGGCATTGATGATGGTCATAATGATGAGCAAAATGGTGATGACGGCGAACGCGGTGAGAGATTTTCGAACGGCAAAGTAGGAAGAAGCGCGGCTGGGTTCGTAGATGCGGAAGAGCTTGAAGATGAAGTAGGAGAGGCCGCCAAAGTAGAGGACGATGACGCAGATCATGCCAGGCTTGTTCTCCCTCTGGGTGAAGAATGCAGCAGCAAGCAGAATGGCAATCGTGACCGGAATGGTGGCAATCGTGAGAGCGAACTCGGGATCGGTCTTGACAGCGACGACGACGACAAACTGAATGATGAAACCCAAAAAGAAGAAGAAATCGAACTTGAGTAGGGCGATGTAGATCTGGCAGTCATGTCAGTCGGGTCTGGTCGCGGATCTCATTTGAGTCCACTGCTCATGTATTAAGTGCATACCTGGTAATGAAGGAAGCGCTTCTTCATGCGATAGTCGGCGCCAATGTTCTTGAGAATGTCCCAAGCAAATTGCTGGTAGAGCTTCCAGGTAATGTATACCATGATAATAGTGGTGACAGCAATGATGACAGGGGTGGCAATAAGGTAGGCCTTGATATCGTCCCACAGCATGGCAGATGTGATGCCTTGCTCCAGCGCGCCGTTGACCTCGAGGATTCCAAGAGCCATCTGAATCTGCTCAAGCTGGAGGGCCGAGTAAATCAAAAGAGCCAGATTGGCGACGCAGACGCCGATGATCTGAATCGTGTTCTTCATGCGCAGCGCGTCCAGCACGAGGATCAATTCGTAAAGGAAACCGAAGATAAATAGAGTAAGAAAGGTAGGGATCGTCTTGTATTGAGACTGGACCTGAGGCAGTGGTACATATGCACCCAGGCTCAGCTGGAATTTGCCGAAAACATAGCTGTGAAGGCGCCTTAGCTTCTGATAGCTGTACCCAAGGGGAAATGAGATGAAAAGAGAGTGCCAACATACGCTTCAAAGGCCAGGTTGATGAGAGCCTGGATACCAGTTACGGCCAGGAAGGCCGCAGGCCATCTGCTTTTGACGAAGGAAAAGTCGAATCGGCTTGCGCCAGTGCTGCCAGCAGCACCAGCTGTTTCGGGGTTTTGGTGGAGGCTCGCGTTCTCAGTATACGTCGGCTGAGCGTAGGCGGCCTGAGTGAGAGATGCCTGGGGATAGGCCTGGCCGTACTCCGCGCCATAGTCGCCGCTCTGGCTAAAGGAGCGATGGTGATACTGAGCGCCATTCTGGTCGAAGGTCGGGTCGCCTCGGTCGCCTCCCAGCAGGGAGTTTCGAGCGTCCATTGCGGCTGCCACGATGAATATTGCGTGACCCCTACCGGGAGTCTGCGGGAAGCGACAAAGGGATAACGGAGCGCTGCTGGTGCTTTTGGTGAGCCAGAACCAGCTATTTCATTCCCAGGCCAGAGTTCGCTCGAGAATTCCTTTCCGCCGGTCGCAAGGTAAGAAGGGAGGTTGGTGAAACGGTCGTCGGTCGAAGGATGAGAAAGTAAAAAATAAGGGTCGATAGCGAGAGAGGAAAGAAGCAGCAAAGTCAAGAATAAATGGGAATATGGAGTAAGCAGAGAGAAGAAGGAAAAGAAAATCTATCACGACTGATAGAGAAGTAGCACTTGGTCGATTGGACGAATAAGCCAACGACGAGCCAAGCGGAAATATGGAACAAACGAGAGACTGGAACAAAGGTGTACTAGTAGAAGTAAGGCGGCGGTTTGAGGAGAAGAGAAGAAGCAGAATCGGCTTCGCGCAGATGCAGAGAGTCAAGAAGCTGGGAGCGCCAGGGGGCAATTTTGGTCGGGTCGAGGGTTAGATGGGTCAAGATGAAACGCACTTTCGCGAGGCAGGGGAGGCCATGGCACTTGTACTTGTATCTTTTAGTTGGTGGTGGTGGTGGTCAGGGCGCTGTGGGAGCCGTTCAGGGCCTTTTACTGAGTGTGTGCGCTGGGCTCAACTGGTGCGAGTGCTAGCAGAGGTACCCGTTGGCGCGTGGCGTATGGCTTCGCCCACTACAGTATCGCTGCTCTCCTGTCTGCCACGCACGGGCACTAGCATTACGAGGTCGCACCAACTACGGGGCATCCTTGGCTTTGGCTGGACGAGTTGCTTTTATCGCATTTTTATCACACGGCATGTGGGCACGATGCGATCCAAACGGGGCCGCGGCCGCGCAAAGGCAGCAGGAAAAGCACAACATGGCGAGCAAAGCACGAAAGCAAGGAGGGCCGCAAGGGTCTCGTCTCTTTCCGGGGGGCATGCCTAGGCTGGGCTGACCAGGCGGAGTCACTGCGAGCTAAGCTGGGCTCTCTTTGCGTTCCCGGGATGCGATCAGCGCTGCAGCCCCGCTTGAAGGGTGATTAGCATGGTGAGACATTGTTTAATACGGTACGGAGGGAGCGCCAAGTTGGAGTGAGGCTCGGCGTGAAAGTACTTGTGCGGCACTGGTGACGGCAGTGGTGGTGCCATACTGTGAAGCTGTAGCTGCGAGGTACCTGCCTACGCGTATCAAGCCATCCGACTTACACGCTCGCCAGCCGAGGGGAGCTCAATTTGCGAGCGCAGAAGCAGTTGAGAACCGCTCCGTATCGTACGGACCTGTGCTGGCGGCATGACGATTTTAGGAGCAGGCGATGATGAGTGAGTGCAGCAGCGAGTTTACTGGATTCGCTGAGCGATACGAAGTGCTGCTGCGTTGATCTGCAGAGAGGGCATAAAGGTGGGTTCGCTGCATCTATCTTTGCATCATGCTGTCTAGCACTGCTACCTTGACATTCTTGTATGCCTAGAGCCCAGTACCATGTACCTCTGAGCAAGGCCCTGCTTTCCTCTAAGATTATGTCAGGCATCTGATAGATTATGCCGCAGCACAGACGGAAGCGCAGAGTGCCGTACCGTTTTTAAACTTGAGGCTGTGCGCGCCGATTGAAATGACAATCGTCGCTTCTAAAAGATCCACCACCAAGAAAAAACCCAAACTGCCATCTTCAGCCACCACCCCATTGCATTCTCCACGGGAAGCTTAAAAAAAAAAAAGTGCGTGGCGTCAGCCGACCGCAGATGTATTTTTGGAAATGCTGCAGTCAGCTACGAATCGGATCTTCCAACTATTTTAATCCGGGCAGCAGCTCGTGCAGCCCTTCTGACGTAAATGGCCTTTTCTTCCTGTTTTGTTGGTTCGATGTTCTGCAGGTACCCTCTCGGCCCCTAATACTAATAGCTCAGATAATGAACTGCCATTTAGTTAGATTGAATCAACTCCCAAATATGGCACGAGGGATCGTCTTCGTGAGCCGCGCTTGCAAGCACCGGATCCAAGATGCCGTGCCGGCAAAGCCAGCCGCTCGGACAGCATCTCGACGCCCGCCCACTGCTGAAGGTGAATAATGAAAAAGGGCGTGACTACTACTACACAACCGTGCGATAATGCAAAAGCACATGCTTCATTACAGCTATCAATGCCCAGAATTGATCTTCTGGTTTGTTAGTGAGCGTGTACCTTTTCGTACCGCCTGCCTTTGCACCCGCGTGCGTGGTACCGGTGGGTCACAACGGCTGCAACGGTCACCCTTGAACAAATCTGCTGCACGACAGCCCGTATTCCGTTTCTCCCTTATTATGTCTCATCCCATGCCATGCCATCGAGTTGCTTGCCGATTTGGGGTATATCTTGCAAGGCTATCTCTCGTAGAGATTTCATCTTATACAGGTAATAGTCTGCAGACTGTAAAAATGAGATACACAGAGCCAACATCAAATGTGAAGCAGGTCTCCTGCAACGCAACCACAACAAACAGCTGCACATATCAAGGGGCATGCCATACTTGCAGAAAGAAAAGGCGCTTCTGAGAAATGCCACTCTGCTGCATTTTAAAGGGCCTGTCTCTTCCAGATTCAGCCGCCAGCAGTTCGTCTCAGCGCCACGCCGAAACACGCCGCAGCCCCGTACTGCATCACGGCGTTCCTAAGCGGTCACACGGTTGCCATCCTGCATCTGCCACCTGCAAGAATCTGCACTATTGGCGTTGTTGGGCTGTTTATCTGTTTCAAGCGCCGGACGCAGTATCTAGGAGTCTTTTTCGAATGTTCGAGGCATCGGCATGGCGCGCAGCTGCATACAGAATTCGATGGGACATGCGTGTAAGCTGCACCGCCGCTATCTGTCGACGTTCGGCTTTGAGACGCACGCAGCCGTTTCAGCGCAGGCATCACACAGTTCAAGTGGTAATGTAGGAGAGCCTCGGCCCAAAGAGGAGATTCCCAAGGGACGTTTGCTGCTGCCAGGCTGCCATCACATTCACCTCGTTTCATCTGCTGAGGCTCTGGCATTGGCATCTCCTTCCAGAGAGGACGGGAAATCCTTCCATCGTTGTGAATCACCTGGTTGACAAGTAGATGCAGCACGTTCATGACTGATAATAGCATCAAATTGATATCAACCTTGAACACGCAGATGAGCGCGTCCATCATCTCCTTGCCCTGACGGCAATCCCAGGGACCGCCTCCACTGTAGCGTGGCTGTACAGGGCTAGCAGAGCGCATGCGCCGCCGCACTGACAGAGGCCGCCAAGGGTTAGCCTCCCACTTCCCAGCTGCCCGGGACTCCAGAACAACCGCCGGAAGTGCTCCGTTTACAGCATGCAGGCAGCGTTAGCACGAGAATTATAGCACGGCGGACGCCCGAGGCCGAGATCCGGCAAGGCAAGCATGATGTTCGGAGGATATGTTAAATGAGAAATGACGTTGAGAAAGATCTCGCTACGAGTCCACTCCTTTTTTGTTGTGTCTTGCTCTTCTTTTACACTTTACTCGAATAGACGTCGTCGGTGATTGGATCTCGTCGGTTACGCGTCAGCCCTCGAAATGCCGGGAGACTCCATATAATCTTCATGCGCAAATGGGACCCATCTGGGTCTATTAGACGGATGTGGTTTTGTAGATGCGCTGCTGTTAAGGAGACAGCCGTAGCAAACTGAGGATTTTATTGCAGAGCCTATGAAGCTTGTTGAGATGCTACTTGCATACGTTTAGCACAAAGAGGTCTCTCGATGGTGTCTCTTCAATTGGCAGCTAGACATTTTGAAGCTTCTAACTGATGCCCCTTATTGGGACTGACACCCCGCAATGGATAACGGCCTGTTGGGACCCCTCTTATTCCCTCTCTACCCCCTCCATTAGCTCAATATTTTTCAGCTGGGCCAGGTTCACTGCATCGTCTTTGTTCCAGCTTCTGTCTGTCTGTGGCCATCCATTTTGGCACGGCGGCGGGGTAGCTTCTTCAATCGCGCGTCTAGAGCGTTACGTAGTGTCGTATATATAAATCTAACTGTGTTCGATTCGGTCCCCTTTTTTGCACATTCAAAAGTAAATTCCTCCTGTCCCATAGAACTTTGCATCTGTTTCTCAAATTCAACAAAAAGAAAATCAAAATGGATTCACTCATCAACGCTGGCAAGGAGTACCTGTCGGAGCAGCTGTCAGGTTCAGGCTCCGGCTCCCATCAAGGTCAAGGCCAAGGTCAAGGTCAAGGTATGTGCCGCAATCCATCTACCATCGTCATCGCCATCATCATCAACCCCCGAAACAAACAAACAAACACACAAACAAACAGACATGCGCTGCTTGCGTAGCAATACTAGAAGCTAACAAACATCTCAGGCGGCCATCTTCCTCCCGGAAACAGTCAGTTATTACTACCCCTCCACGTAACCTCCTCCCGAACGAATACCTAGTCCTGACTCGAAGCTCGATTCTATATACAGATGCCTACGGTGGTGCGTATCCTGCCGGCGGCGACTTCCACCACGAAGATGAGGAGCTGCGCACCGCTCACCAGCAGGCCTCGCAGTACGCTGGCTCTTCCGGCAACAGCGAGATCTTCTCCAGCGTCATCAACTCCATCAGCCAGAAGAAGGGCCATTTAGCCAACAGCGACATTGATGAGCAGGGTTAGTTTCTATCTCCATGTCCCCTATGGACATGTATTCTGACTGCCAGTCTTCCAACAGAGGCCATCCGCAAGCACCAAGAGACCTACTCTCAAGACACCAGCGACCTGAGCTCCAACAGCCTCGGCTCCGCCGCCGCGATGCAGGCGCTCAAGAAGTTTACTCAGGGCGAGACAGGCGGCAACCAGAGCCAAGGCGCGTTTCTAGGCTTGGCCCTGTCTGAGGCCAGCAAGGTATATATATCTTTGCACCCTCTAAGAAAGAGAAGATGTCTAACTTTGATGGTGTGATTTCTAGCTCTTCGACGCCAAGGCTGCCAATGGACAGGTAGCTTCCGATGCCAGCAAGGAGTCTGTCATCCAGCAGGCCGGCGAGATGGCTATGAAGATGTATTTCAAGAGCCAGGGCGGTAGCAACCAGGGCGGTGGCGCGTCTCAGCTGTTGAGCCTCGCCTCCAAGTTTTTCTAAAGGGCCATTATTTGGTGTGTGTGGGTGTGTGTGTGTGTGAATTTATAGCACTCAACTAGGTGTAGCCTTTTTTTTAGTGAAGTTGACGGACAAAACGATGAAATGAATTTACGAAGATTTTTGACGTCTCAGAAATACCCCTCAAGATAATGCTTCTGAAACAAAGCACGCATGCTGTTACAAAACTTGAAGATTCGGGACATATAGCTTAACCTTGTCTAGCTTCATGTTTACTACTGGCCCCCAGCCAACGTAAACACATCTACCCAAGCATCTGGCCGTCTGCGCCCGTTGGGGTACTCTTCATGCAGATATTCCTCGGCCTCCCTCGCCCATGCCAGCAACTGCTCTTCACTTCCCCACTCACCCGTGGCGATCAAGCTCACAGGCAGTTTTCCCTCGCCCTGCTGAGGGTCGACATAACCTACCGGGGCGTTGACGGACGGCGTGCCCGTTACGTTGGCCAAAAAGATGTACGACATGTTCCTCAAGGTAGTATTGGTGTCACTCATACCGTAGGCGTCATCTCCGTCCGCGCGTGGCCATCCGATTAAGGGGGTTGCCGGCGTCATAATCAACAGGCCCGGGTACTTCTGGAACAGAAACGCCAAGTGGCGCATCACCAGTGTGCGCAGGCTGTTCATCTTGACATAGTCAGCGGCCGATGGCTGCGCGCCCACGGCAAGGAGGATCTTGTTGGCTCCCCCAATGAGCGAGAGGTGGTCAGCCGGGTTGGGCGTCCTCTGGCGGGCCTTTTCCGCCATCTCGGCGATGCAGAGGCCGCCGTGGGCGACTTGCATCTCTGAGAGGTACGGGATGCTGATGTCGACAATCTCGTAGCCGCGCTTGGCGGCGAAGTGGTCGAGTGCCTTGTCGCACAGCTCGCGCACGGGCGGGTCGGCCTTGTTGAACCAGTCGCGGTAGACGCCCATGATGCGCTTCGCCGACGGCGACGGGGGGATCGACAGCGCAAAGAGGCCCTGGGTCGGGCAGTCTGGGTTGGGCTGCGTCATGACGCGGTAGGCGATGGTGAGGTCGGCGACGTTTGCTGCCATTGGGCCGGTCACGCACATGGTCATTTGCATGACGTGGGTGCGGTGGTGAGTCGGCTTGAGGCCGTAGACGCCGTTGAAGTGGGCGGGGATGCGGACGCTGCCGCCGGCGTCTGTGGCGACGGCGATGGGGACGATGCCGGCCGAGATGGACGACCCGGCGCCGTTGGAGGAGCCGCCGGGGTAGTAGGCGTTGTTGAGATGATTCAGGGGCGTGCCTTGTGAGACCTAGATAGGGGGTGAGTGTGAGTTAGCTATGTCTATATAAACATATAATCCAGATTGGTAAGAATATGTCTCTCCGGGGCAGGCGTAATTACATTTAAGCCGCTTGTATCTGTGCAAACTCATCAGTAAAATGTACTTCAGGAACGTTATTCAACAGCGTGAAGGTAGTTAACCGTACCTGATCCCAATTCATGCATCTTATTCTTGCCAAGAACAACAGCTCCAGCCTCCTGAAGCTTCTTGACGGGCCACACAGACTCCTTCTTGACCGCAAAGCACGCAAGCGAAGGGTTATACTTCATGCCAGTGTGATTGATGTAGCCCTCCACATCCGTATCGTCCTTGACGCCAATCGGCACGCCGTCCAGGACTCCGATCGGATTGCCCGCAGCCCATCTCTCGGTGGAAGCCTTGGCAGCCTCCAGAGCGAGCTTCTCGGCGCCGTGGGCATCTGCCCAGGCGTCACTATACTTACCCGATCCCGTGGTCAGGGCGAGAAGTGTCTCTACTACTTTGAGGGGAGTGGTCTTGCCGCTCTTGTACAGCTGATGATAGTCGCTGATGGAGTAGTAGCGTGCGTTTGACGATGCGTACTTGGAGGTGAGCAGCTCTGGCTCGAAGTCTAGCATTGGCCCTGTCGGACCTAGGGGCGTAACAGTGGGCTAGAGAATATCCAGAGGAAGCGTTGGTCAGCAGCTGATATGAGAGAGAGATATCTTAGACTGTCGTGGAGGGAGTGTTGTTATTCAACCATTTACATACGTGGAAAGTAGACTCGATGTTATCCAGCACATGCATCTCTTTGATCTTGTCGATGCCGCTGTTACGGTAAAAGTATCCTGCAATTAAATTGGATCGAGCAATGCTAGATGAGAAAAGGTATTCTCGCTTTAGTTCGATGTCATCACTGAGAATCTCATGCATACGTACAGCTCACCACCTAGCATGAGAGGAATCCCTCGCAGAACGGGATTGTGGTCTACTCGCTGCACATATCCCGTATCTGGCCCTTCCTCGGGCTTGGGATAATTTGCAAAATTCAGGGGAGCCATGGTTGTTTCAATTGAATGGCGATGAGCTTGCTTCAAGATGACTGGGAAGAAATGATGAGGATGAAAATACTTGAGCTTGAAAACAGCAACACAGGCAAGACTGCAGGTTGGGCAGAAAGTCGGTTCAGTCACCTCTAGCGTCTCCGCAATGGGTCCTGATGATAGCCTACAAACCTTTGAAAGAGCTCTATAACATTATCAAGCCCCGTTGATAAATCTTGAATATGTTGGACTCTACAGGTCAGGTCAGTTGGATTGTCAACGCTTTTTGCCAATCCGGAATCTTTGATGACGGGCCAATACGCCTTTATAAACAGATCGCCGCTTAGCAGGACTCGTGTATGGATACTGCCATCATTTCTATGGGACGCCGTGCTATTTTAGCTGCAGTGCTGAAAAGAGGGTGCATCCGAGGCAAATTGGGCGGGGATCCTTCAGGCGCGAGCCAGCACAAATGAGCTAGAGCTACTAATGATGGCAGCAGTGCCAATATCAGATTCCGGCAGAACGCGGGGTTCTAGTGGCTTGCCGAATTTCATGTGAAAAAGTGACTCCGGGGCAAATCATATTATTCATCGTTCATGTTATTTTACGATGATAAATTTGGCGATTTCGGCTTATTGGCTGAGCTTGGTGAATCGACCCCTAGCTTTTGTTGAGCCAAAGTCATGCCAATTAATCCATGTTTCAACACCTACCCGAGAAAGAGCAATCTCGAGGATATGAAATGACCAGTCACTTTTCACGCGCAACAGCAAGCAACTTTATGTGAAGATTCAATGGTTGCTGTTTAGCGTTTCCAGTTATTTCATTTTTCTTAGTGGCTTCTCAAGGAGAAAATAACCTTGGAAGCTACCTGGTGAATCCTCTGCTTTCAAGCTTGCCTACTATCGGTCTGTGTAAAAGGGGACGCGAAGCTGGCCAAGAAGTCCTAGCTCGTACGCCGAAATATTTTTATTGTAAAGTAGGTGGCAAGAAAGAAGTTGAAAAGCAATAACAAAACAATAATAATAAGCAATGCCTTAATCTATGCGTGTTCCAAAAGAAAAATAAGCAGAATATTGCGTAATGCCCTCAGGCAGAATCGCCACGAAAATCCGTATGTCCGTATCCGTCTAATTCTGCTCCCAATTGTTGCCTCCCATGGTATCATAATCGTGTACAGATGCCCAAAACAAAAGGGAAACCAAAAGAAAAAATGACAACAAAACAAAGAAAATAAAGGAAAAAAAAAAAAAAAAAAAAAAGTCCTCCAAAGTCGTTTTCCTCCAGAACTATGACAACAAGAACGGTAAGAATGTGTAAGCAGGTCCCTGTCGCCAGTGATATATGCATCTTTAAACCAAATCAAACTCCATTATCAGGGTTCCATCTTAAAAAGCAGTCAGCGTCGTCCCGGTCCGGCCGTATTGTATACCGAATAAGTTATATCTTGCTTCGTTTTCCAGTCCTTCCTGTCATTCCTCGTCTCTCGCTTTCCGGTCGAGAATTTTGATAAGTCTGTCCATTAGACGGGAGTTGGAGTTGCCGTTGGCTTCGTTAATGGCGTGCCGATACTGTTGTTGCGCTTTTTTTCCTTCTTCGCCCACCGCAACCCGCAGGCGTTGCAGAGTGTCTTCGGCCCGTTGGGCCCCTTTCGCCATTCTGGAGAGTCGAGAGTACCTGAGATTTCATATTAGTAGCTGTATTAGGATATAATGCTCTCCCAGCTGGGAACAGCAAATGATTGTCCAAAAGGGTGCTATACCGCAATCTGTGCAGACGTATTCTTCTGCCAGCTTCAGCTTCTTTTTCTTTTCCCCTGATCTATTATCCCGATCCATGGGAATAGCAATTCCAGCATCGCCTTTGATGAGCGTAGGGCTGCGGTTACCGGCAGCCATCCGCTCTCCATTCTCTATGCCGGTCAACAACGCTATGGTATCCGCCGAAGACGTTTCAATCCGAGCCATTTTATCACGTAAAGAGTCCTGGCGACTTTTTGACGTGGCATCCTCTAGGTTTTGCCTCGTTAATGCGCCATCATCGTGTTCAGACGTTATCCTATCCTGGGCCACTCTGGGAAGTGGTGTCAAGGACATGCCAGTTCCCTCTGATGGGGTGATGTCTGACCGCCCGTCTCGACTCTGGGCCCACTGCCTCTGTGCTTCCTCCACTTCTGCCTCTTCCTCTCTCCGCAGCTCAGCGATGCGGCGCCTCAGCCTCTCATTTTCTATCTTGTGTTCCAAAAACGAGTCCAGGAGTGTGGCATTTTTCGTCGGGTATAGCCGCGCCATCATGAAGACAGCCTGGCAAAAAGGCGACTGGTTGTTTGGATTTGGAGCAAACCCAGCAGCCGCAATGTGGGCATGACCGACGGCTTCGAATATCGCATACGCGCCATCCTTCTTCCTCATTCGATAGAACATGCGTAAAGAGTTGCCGGTTGCGATAGACTCGTGGAGTTCGGAGACAAGCACGCCCTGGTCATCGGGATGGATCAGGTCCTTGAGAAACAGGTCCTGGACCTCCTCGACGGTGTACCCCGCCAATGCCGTGATGCTGGGAGATGAGAACCTGATGCGTCCGTTGGAATCGAGCAGCTGCAGCAAATCGCTGAGCTCCTCGACCACCTTTGCCGGCCAGTTCTTGCGCTTGGTGAACTCGGTCAGCGAGTTGTTGCTGCTGTTATTGGGTTGGTTTGCTGCCGTTCCTGGAGTGAATGCGCCCGCTGGTAGAGGCCCCGCACCGGGCACGTCGTTGGCGACCGGATTGAATTGGTTCTCGGCGTTGAGGATGGCGTCTGGCGAGATCATGTCGCTGCCAACTCCGCCGCTGTCGCCGTCCAGCACAGACACTGCCGAGTCCAAGCTCATGGGCAAGTCGCCGCCAAAACTCTCGATGATGTCGCTGTTGAGAAGGGCCATGCTGCCGTCGTCGGTTCTGAGCGCATCGGCCATGCTGGTTGAGACTGGGATGGCGTGGCTGTGGCCTCCCAGGAACGCGGGGAGTGCATCGAAGTTGGCGAAGCTGAACAGGTCCTCGCGGAGTGGAGGCTGGCCGTGGGACATTGTCGCGGTATGCTTATACCAGCAGCGGTTGGATTCCAGGCATTAGCCTAGCGGGCAGCGGGCAGCTATCGTTTCATTCAGTGGCGCCCTCGGGGGGCGTTTTACTTGGAAGGGACGGGGGGCGGGCGCTGTGACAGCGGGCGAGGCCACTGAAGCTGTCTGCTGTGCGGGCTGCTCGGGGGGAAAGAGAGGCTTCTGGCAGGCTTTTGGATGGTGATGTATTTTAGTCGGACGTGCAGCATCAATAATGGAAACAGAAACAGAAACAGGCACCTTTTTTGCGATATTTCAGCTAGTCCAGGATTTTCGCTAGCAGGCGGCTGACTGATGGCGAGCAGAAACACCTCGCAAGCGCTGGCTGGCAGCCCGGAGAAATGACCCCGAGTGAAAAGCGGGCTTGATCTTGCCCTGATTGGAGCTGTTTCAAGGCCTCAAAGGGCAACTGGTCTCCCTCGCGTCCTGAGAATTCACCAGCAGCAGGCCGGAGGGACGCAGTAATACTACCGGGATGTCGTCTTACGAGAGTGATGCTGCACCAGCTGATAATACGCCAAGCTGTTTACCGAAATAGGTATTACTTGTAGGCACTTTTACTACGGTTTTTCTTTTTTTTTTTTTAAGTGCCATGGCACGCAAGTCTCTTCCTGCTAGGCAGGGTTTGCCACCTGAGTCTCCGCTATTAAAAAGCAAAGAATTGTCTCTTAGCGAAATTTAGAAAAGAAAATGAAGAATAAACAGCAATGACATCAAAGCAATACAGAAAAGCCAAAAGTTGTCAAAAGTAGCATTGCCCGCTATCAGCAAAAAGCTGCGCGGGGGTGGGCAAATGCGCAAAAAGCGACCGACCCTGAAGATTCCCAGCAATGACGCAACCCCCTCAAAATCCTGCAGCCTCTAATGCTTTAGCGGCTGCAGCGGGAGGATGTGGCCAGAGACGCTAAAAAGCGGCCCTCCAGCTTTTGATTCTGATTGATTCATGCCGCCTGATGACGGAGGATTATCGTGTGTGTCATGTATGGGCTATAGTGCTAAAAGCCTAGCAAACGGTACCTGGTGGTATCTGGCGGGGCCTGCGGGCATGTCCAGCTTGGGCAACCGTGGGACGCATCTGATCAGAGGTCCCTGGCACGCATCATCACCAAACAGGCACATGTATTCGCCAAATAGCACGCAGCACTGCAATTTACCAAAGTCACAACAGCGCTGTGACCGCTGCTCAATTCATTTGCTCGGTGCACACACAGTTAGGCCTGCTGACCGGCGCTTCGTGCTCGGCTTGGTAGCGCAGCCAGTTGCTCACAGCTAGCAGGCCTCGGGCCAGCAGAGGGCACAATCCGATTCGACCACTTGGCGGGGGTCGCGCGATGGGCAATGCAAGGGAAATCTTTTTCCTGATGCATCGCAGCTTGGCTCGGGGGCTGATCTGGAGAGCCAACCAGCAGCCGCTATTGCGTATACAGGCTATACATAGACATATGCCCGTCATCTGGGCCAGATTGAGTTGGGCTGATCAGGACACGACCCAGCAAGCAAACAATCATCACGCAGCAGAGAACAAGAGCGAGGAGAGAGAATAAAGCAGAGCAAAGAAAATAAGAAAGCAAACCTTGTTTCCGCCACATCTGCCGTGCACCCAATTGTCCATCCGACGGGCCATCCGTGATGCACATATTGCGAGCGGTGGGACTCCACATAATATGCAAGCCAGAGTCGTCAGTGGCTGTGTGCGACGCAGCACCAAAGGAACTGTACAGACGACCAGCCGTAGGGAGGGGTCGTGACTTTATCTTATCGTACACCACGTGAGGACGCATCTGTCCGCCGTTTCACTCAACGCGTGACCGCTGCCTGGAGCGCGTTTCGCAGTGAAGCCTCGAGAATCTGGCTGGTAGGCATCAGTGGCTGGATGCAACCATAGACTGAAACCAGTGCAAGGCGACAGTAGCACCGCAAGGGAGATGCCACAGCACTGACTCTCGCGTCTCATTCTGCCATTGGGTCGTTCTACAGCTGCCAGCATTTGTTGCAAGCAAAGTATTGAGCACAGTTCCCGTGATCCAGCCTGTGAATCATGTCGAGGATAGACAAGCTCTCCATCTCCGGTGTCCGGTCCTTCAGTCCAGCCGTGCGTGAGGCTATCCAGTTTAACACCCCGCTTACCCTCATCGTTGGCTACAATGGATCCGGAAAGACGACCATCATCGAATGTCTCAAGTATGCGACCACCGGTGAACAGCCCCCAAACAGCAAGGTTGGGGGTGCCTTTATTCACGATCCAAAGGTAGGCTTTTCGATTACGCTTCTGCCTGGCATGTGTCTGTGCTATTGTCTTGTGTGACGGCTGATAATGGTGTCTGTCTAGCTCGCTGGCGAAAAAGAAGTCCTGGCTCAGGTCAAGCTACAGTTTCGCTCCATCAACGACCGGCAACATGTGGCCACTCGGAGCATGCAGCTCACTGCTAAAAAGAACACCCGATCGCTAAAGACGCTTGACTGCTCGCTGGTGGTTGTCAACAATGGCGAGCGGACGACAACTTCGACCAGAACAGCACAGCTTGACGAAATGATTCCCGAACGACTCGGCGTTTCTCGCGCTGTCCTCGATGCCGTCATATTCTGCCACCAAGATGAATCGCTTTGGCCACTTAGCGAGCCTTCAGCATTGAAGAAGCGTTTCGACGAAATTTTCGAGGCCCAAAAATATACAAAGGCCATTGAGAACTTAAAGGTGCTTCGGAAGAAACAGGTGGAGCAGCTTTCGATGCTGCAGAACGACGAGGCCCACAACAAGGCCAACAAGGATAGGGGCGAACGGGCTGAGAAGCGTATGAGTGGGCTCCAAACTGAGATTGAAACGGCTCGCGACAAGTGCGAAGATCTCACGAAGGAGATGGAGGCAACACAGGGTAGAATAACACAGAAGCATCAACAGGCCAACAGCTTCCTCCAGATCGTGCAAAACCTCAACAACAAGCGGGAGCAGCTTGAATACCGCCAAGATGCCATTAACGAGCTCAAACAGACAATTGATGAATTGCCTGAAACTGATGATGCCCTGGAGCGCGCTCTGTCCCAGTATGAGGAAAGTATGGGGCGCTATCAGGAAGAGGCTGAGCAAAACAAGGCACAGTACGCCGAGCTCCAACAAGAACTGACAAACCACCGCCAAAGTCAATCGGCAAAGTTGGCCGAACAGGGAAAACTACAGTCTGACAAGGAGAAATATGAACGACAACTAAAAGCGCGAGTGCAGTTGGTCCAGGAGGCTGCAAGCCAATACAACTTTAGAGGCTTTGATGAAGACGTAAGCGATCAGTATATACAGGCTTTCCAAGACAAGATTCAGAAGCTCTTGACCGAAAAGAGGCGAGATTTGGAACGACTCCAGAAGGAGAACGCCGCGGAGCTAGATAAGGCTACAGCCGTCATTACTGAGCTAGAGGGGCGCAAAGCGGCCAGGACTCAAGATCGTGTCTCTGCCAAACAGCGCATGGGGGCTATAGAAAAGCGTACAAGCGTCCTTCAGAATGAAGCTGGGAACATTGACGTTGATGAGGGAGCCAAGGCGATTCTTGACGGACAGCTTAATGAGCTGGAATCTAGATTCAAGCATGCCCAGCAAGAACTGGAAAAGTCAAACTGGGACCAACAGCTGACTGAAGCCAATGATAAGCAGTGGCAGCTGGACAACGAAAATGAGAAACTTGGTCGCGAGCTCGTTGAGTGCACGCGGCTGGCGTCGGAGCGCGCACAGCTGGAGCTGAGGAAGAAGGAGATGTCAGATCGAAAACGAAAACTTGACACTCTGATAGAGACGTGGAAGCCTAAGCTAAGTAGCATCCTCGGAGATGACTGGGAGCCGCATACTCTGGATTCTCGATTCCAGTCGATTCAAAGCCGCCAAAGCAAAGCCGTACAAGAGGCGCAAAAGCGTCGAGATCAGACAAGGCAGAAACAGCAGAAGGTAGAGTATAAGCTAAAAACTGCCAAAGAGACGCACAGTAAGAAGACGCAGGAGATGAACCAGCGGAAGCAAGAAGTTGTTGCTGCGCTGCAAAACGTACGCGATAATGCGGTGGTGGAAGACTATGTGGACGAAGTTGCTGCTGTGGAACAACAGGTTGAAGAGCTCCGGACCGATCTCAGCCTTTTTGATGCCTTATTTGACTATTACAACAAGTGCAAGCGTATGCTGGATACACAAAAGAAGTGCAGGCTGTGCGATCGTCATTTTGACGATGGCCAAAGCGCAGCTCTTGACCGCCTGAGCAAGAAGATCGATAAGCACTTGGATCCAAAAGGCAAAGTCGATACTGAAAAGGACTTGAAAGAGGCCGTGGATAATCTGGAAGCGCTGCGTGCGGTGCGATCAGCGTTTGATACGTATGAGCGACTCTCAGCAGAGCTGCCCGCTCTCCAAGACGAATGGAAAACTGCTGAAAATGAATTCGAGACTCTGGAAAAAGAACTCGAAGAAGAAGACGCTCTGGTTGCTGCAGCAGAGGAGAAGCTAAGAGACCTCGGAGATTTGGCCAAAACAGTTGCAAATATTTCCCAAACTGTCAGAGATATCAAGGATGCCGAGGCCCAGGTAGACCGCATCGTCTCGCAGCAATCGTCTGGCGGCGTGACTCGCAGCGTAGAAGAGATTCATGAGCTTCAGTCAAGCATATCTGAGCAGATCAGAACTCTGAAGAATAGAATCACCAAGCTCACAACCGATAGGCAGCGGATGAAAGACCAAGTCAACTCGCTTGAACTTGAGAAGAGTGAGCTGCGGAACAAGATTGGTCGCACCGCAGGACAGCTTGAGAAGAAGAAAGACCTGCAGAACCAGATCCAGACACTCAAAGAAGACTACACCCATCAGCGCGAAGTGATCCAGAGGACCGACGAAGAATTGGAAAAATTGGAGCCCAGCATTACAGAGGCACGGTCAGCTCGCGATGAGACAATCCGTCATGGTCGATCAAAGGAACAGGTCATTACTGACGAGCGAGATGCCATCGCCAATTCCATCGCCGAGATCAAGAAGATGGATAACGATATCCAGGACTATGTTGATCGCGGTGGCCTGACCAACCTTGCATCTAACCAGCGTGCCCTCGCCTCTCTCGACACAGCCATCAGCACTACAGAGAAGGAGATCGCCGATGTTACAGTACGGACCAACAAACTCAAGCAAGACATTGATAGCGGAGATCGGAAAAGGAAGAATATTAGCGATAATCTAAATTATCGCAAACACTTGCGGACCCTCGACGTTCTACGCAAAGACATTGGGGACCTTGAAGATCGAAATGCTCACGAAGACTACGAAAGGCTTCAGGCGGAGGCCCGTTCTCTGGAGAACACAGCCAACCGGCTGGTAGCAGAGCGTGGGTCTGTCATGGGCACAATGAAGTCGAAGGACGAAGAGCTCGGCCGCCTCCTACAGGAGTGGGACATGGATTTCAAGGACGCCAAGAAGAAGTACCGGGAGTCCCATATCCGCGTGGAAACTACAAAGGCGGCGATCCAGGATCTGACCCAATGCGGCTCTGCCGTGGACAAGGCGGTGATGCAGTACCACTCCATGAAGATGGAAGACGTCAATCGCATCGCGAGCGAGCTATGGCAGACAACGTACCAGGGCACCGACATTGACACCATCCTTATCCGCTCAGACAATGAGACTGCCAGCAACAAACGCAACTACAACTACCGCCTGTGCATGGTCAAACAGGACACCGAGATGGACATGCGGGGCCGCTGCTCGGCAGGCCAGAAAGTCCTTGCCAGCATCATCATTCGCCTGGCCCTGGCGGAGTCCTTTGGCGTCAACTGCGGGCTCATTGCGCTGGACGAGCCGACGACCAACCTGGACAGGGACAACATCAAGTCCTTGGCGGAGAGTCTACACCGCATCATCAAGACGAGGCAGCAGCAGAGCAACTTTCAGCTCATTGTGATTACGCACGACGAGGAGTTTTTGAGACATATGCGGTGCAGCGACTTTTGCGATAGCTTTTTTAGGGTGAAGAGAGATGAGAAGCAGAATAGCGTGATTTCGAGGGAGAGCATTACCAAGATCTTTTAGACAAATCAAAGGGCCTTCTTATTGGGATGAAGTTTGCACATGAGATATCTACAATTTATAGCGTCAAGGCATGGCACCATGGAGTTTAATGAGGCGGTGTGTTTCCCGAAAAGGCTGCTTAGTAAAAAGTATGATATGAACTGTCCCCAAAGAATGGTAATAAATATAAAAGTGCAAAATAGAGTCGAATTTTTAATCGTACTAATATCTTGAATCATGAGATGAAAGACGAAAGAAAGACACAAGAGGGAAAAGGAGGAAAACACAAAACACACGGGTATCAGATGCTCAATAACCCTGAATTCAGCACCAGTAACAACATGAGAACCAACATGATAGCCACCCAATCCCAATCCGTTCCAATGACCTGCCATATTTCCAATCCTCTCTTTCCTCTTTAATAAAGGAAAAAAGAAGTGCCCAGCGCACAAAGTAGTATGTACGTGTATGTGTATGAAGAAAGAGCGCTCTGCATCCCGTATAAACCAATCCAAACTCCCGTAAATTTTATAAACTGCGTTGAACTGCCATTTTCTCTCTCCCTCTCTTCTCTTGGGAAAGTGAAGCTTTGTCGGCCTGGAGCAAAAATGGCTAGTAAAGATAATGATAATGGTGATGTAACATTTTACATCCACCGCTGTTAGGAAAAAGAGGCAGCTGTTCGCATGTATGACGCAGAAATCAGATACTCTTTTCTCCCCCCAGACGATTGAGAAGGAAAGAATCCCCCCTCAACTCATCCGCGGACTCTTTCTCCTAGCCTCAGACAAAGCCGTCAGTGGTAAGTTCTCGCGACCTTCGCCAATCAAATCATGCTTCCTCAAACTCGTTCGCGTAGAACGGTTGCTGCGCTTAAACAGCGGCATAGTGTGATCTGAGGCGACAGACATGAGGCTTGAGCCAGGCTCAAAGTTGATGGCGCTGGTAGTAAGACTTGTCGATACGTTGGGGTGGACTTCGCGTAGCCTTGCGATTCTATCTGAGAGGCTATCGGCCGACGACGGTGTTGGTGAGCTCATCTTTTCGGAGGCATCCAAATCGGCAAAGACAATCGTATTTTTGCTGTCATCTGCCTCAGTGGAAGCCTCGTCAGGAGTTTCTTCGCCCGTCTTTGAGAAAATGAGGTCGGGTGCTTCAGTGCGAGGCAGGCTCGTGGGAAACTGATATTGTGCTTTTTGAGGGGATTCTCCAGTCGGTTGATAATCCTGTAGTGCTGTTTTACCAACGTGGTCCCGCAGGCTCGCTAGAGGCTGGCATATCTGGGATGTGAGGGGCTCAAGACCGTCGCGTAGATCGCTAGTATCGAGCTCCATGCCCTCGCCGAGATTTTTGACACGGTCAAAGGTAGTTTTGAAGTGAGCAGAAATACTGCCGAATGACTGATCCACTGTATTAGACAGAGACTGTAAAGCTTGTACATGCGATTCGTGATGAGTGCCGCTCTCAGACTTTGCACGGGCCACGAAGTCGTCCATGGCCTCCATTTGGACATCCAAGTCGTCAATCTGTGCCCCTACGACACGTACGGTCTCAGCATGTACTTGGTTGGCTGTGGTGCGGATAGCATTGCTGCGGTCTTCTGCCGCGTTCCAGTCGTCCTTCAGCTTTGTCTTTAGCTGCTCGCGCGATTTCTTGACTTCTTCCAGCAGCTCGCCTTCCTTTGCGTCCCAAGAATCCATGCCTTGGCCATACTGAGAAATGGCCCCTTCGAGAGATGCGTTGTAATCGGTCATATTCTTTTGGACCTGCGAAGTCCTCTCTGCGAATCGGTTCTCTTGCGCTTCAGCCTGAGTCGCAATCAAAGCGGAGATTTGCGTCAAGAGCTTTTGGCGTTCTTCAGCCGCCACTCGCCTCTCCTCTTCCAATGCCTCTTGCATGCGTGTAGAGATGTTCGCATTTTGCATCATAATGGTGTTGGTAGCGCTCTGCAGCTGTCGCCTTAGATTGTCGGATTCGAGGCGTTGAGTGGTGATATGTCGGACTAGTTCTTCGAAAATAGACTTGAAATCCTTGCCTAGAGAGCTATACGAGGTGTGAAGCTGGCCATGAAAGTCGGCCATCTCGTTCAGTACATCACCAGCAATCTTCTCCGCAGCGTGCGCGATGGCCTGAAGACTTTCGCTGACCCTTTCCTTGACATTGTCGCGAATCTCCTTGATTTCCTCCAGCACCTCGTCCATTTCGTCCTTGGATTTTTGCTTCTGCTCTAAAAGCTGCCTCTTGGACTCTGCAAAAGTGTCGAAATTCTCATCCAAGAAAGCCTGTGTAGCTGAAACCTTTTGCAGTTCTTCGTCGACAAAGACCTCCATCCTTTTCGATACGCCCAAGATTTGCTCTTGCTGCTCTTTTTGGAACATGCGGATGCGTCTTTCCACCATTGACGTTATCTCAGCAACTTGGGACTGAGATGAGCTCCAAGCCGTTCGATTTAGCAAGTGTAATTCTGATTTGCGCTTATTCTTCGCGTGAAGACCATTGACATCTTTGACTGTCTTCTGTAGCTTGTCAATCAGAGCGCTACCAATCTCTGTCAGTCTCTCCTCCGTCTCTTCGTGAGCCTTGCGAAGCTCAGTTTCCTCTGCCAATGTCTTCCGAGTCGCTGCGAGGATGATGTCGGTTTGATCTAGAACACCCTGTGTGTTTTCCAATTGCGCCTTAGTCGCCTCATTGTCCTTCTTCATGCCCATAAATGAGATGTTGAGGGAAAAGAGCTCTTGGACCTTGTTTCGTAGGTTTGTTTCGAGCGTTTCCAGTCGCGCGCTTTGTTCCTCCATCACGATCCGCCTTGATTCGCTTTGCGCCGTCATCTCTTCGTACATGTCATTTGACAGGTATACGCCATTGCGCTGTCGTGTTGATATTAGCTCGCTCTTTAGCTTCTCAATCTCCACGGTAAAGTCTCTAAGAAGCATTTTCTTTGTAATCATGTGTAGCTGAGGCTTGTTGCGGATATTCTTGGCGCGAAACGCATATTCGAGTGTAGAAATTGTTTCTTCGAGGTTGCTTTTTGAAGGAGAAATGGTGGCGATAATGCACGTCTTTGTTCGACCACCAAGCGAATCCTGCAGCAGACGAGTCAATTTGGACTCTCGGTAGGGAATATGGGGGCTGCGATCCACCAAAGCGTTGATGACTCGTCCAAGAGTGAGCAGCGACTTGTTGATCAAGCCGGCCTCCACTGCTCGCTTGTTCTCTGCGCCTGATCTCTGGATGTTTTCACTGCCGGCCAAATCCACCAGATTCAGCTTCCCTGCGCTAACAAGCTCCTCTGCGCCCTGGTCGTTCGTCTTCTTTACATATGCGGTAATGGTAAAGATGGTGTGGCCTCGAGAACTCAGATCGTTGCACTTGGTCGCCGCTACCTGACGTTTCAGGCTGCCCTCCTGGAGCACCTTGATTCCCTCAGCCGCGTTTTTGATGTGTTTTTCCTCCATGCCTTGGACGAGTGTAGTCGCATGGCCCTTTCTCGAGGCGTCATCGTAGATCTTCAGCTTCGCGCCCTCGTCGGTAGAGAGCAAGTCGCGGAGCTCTTCGTTGTATAGCTCGATGAATGAGCATTTGACGCAGCTGTCGGTCCCATCGATCTCGAGTTTGTTGAAGAGTTGTTGTAGCACACGAGGGATAATTCCGGCTTCGTCAGAGAGCATGCCTAGTGTGTCTGACATGTCTCCTGACATTGTGTATGTCTTGCCCGTCCCTGTCTGTCCGTAGGCAAATATCGTACAATTATAACCGGCAAGCATCTGGCCAGCCCTGTTAGCACATTCTGGATACGATGGAGACGCCCCAGCTCGCAACAATTCTGGGAAAGCATAGAGTAAAAACCCACCTCTTCTAGAATAGGCTTCACCGTATCGTCAAACACCATGGCTTGATCTGCCGCTGGCGAGAACACGCGATCGAAGCTATACGACTTGTTGCTCAGCGCGTTGGCCCCCATGGACAGCTCAATCATCTGGCCCTTGACGCCGTCCGAGTTGACAACGACGGCGCTGTTCTCCTTGACTTCCCGCTGACTGCGGCCGCGACACCGCACCACGACGTTGATGTTGCTTTCTTCGCCTCCCCCCACCACCACGTCGGCCTCAAAGTCGCGCTCCTTGCGCTTTGTCCCGGCCGCTGCCGCAGACATGGCCGATTCGGCGGGCGATATGGCGCTCGACCGATCGCCTCGTGCCGCCGCAGAGAAATGTCGATGTGTTGAGATGGTTGAGGATCTGACGCTGCTGCCCTGACGCGTGCCGTTTCTCACAGCGGATGATCGTGGATTCGATGAGCTCATTGCTGTTCGACTGAGCTCCCGGTCGGAGCGTGCTCGTAGGTGAGCCATTCTGAGAAAGCAGTATGACCACCACTGCCGATAAAGGCAGTCGTTCCAATTTTTGCGTTAAGGTATGTGGATGTATGTATGGCTGAGTGCTGTTGTTGTTGATATTTCCTTAGGCGGGATTAAGCTGTGGAGATTAGGCGGCAGATTGTACCGGGGTACCTCTCTAGCGCAAGTCGGCCAGTGCGTAAACAAAGCCTGCGCTCACCCCAAAGACACACAAGATGCAGACACAATCGCTAAAGACTGTGATGGAAATAGTGATATGGAGGAAATAGGCATCTGTTGCGACACAAGGTCAATTCTCTTGGTGGGGAAGGGCCTTGGGAAAGCATCTGTGCGAAATATGCAGGCATGTGCCGGGGATCAATCAAAAGTATGGGTTGGTAGTGTAAATACAGGGGCAGTATAAGCTACACAGTCATACACGCAGAATCGCCACTGTCGTAAAGTAGATGGTACTAACGTAGTGCGGAAAGCGGAACTGGTTGTAAAGAGCCGTCACCACAGCAACGTTTGAAGCCTTTTGATTACATAACCCTATAAAACACTTGTAAGACAGCTTTGAGCTAATGATACGCAACAATTGAATCTCACAATGGCCAAGACATGCATCATCAAGTGTCTCATTTCTTTTTATTGACATCATTATATACTGGTGTTGGTTTTAACCTATATGCAAAATCTACAGCAAACAGCAATGTAGCCAAGAGAAGAGGTATGTTGAAAAGGACTCTATTGTCCTCGGGTGCCAAAATCTCCTTCCATCGATCTTCCATTTTCCATGAATATCATCAACGCCGTAATCCAATGTGAGATAAAAACGAGGCATTAAAAAAAAATTGGTATCGAAAAGCGGACAAATATGCCTTTTTATTTTTCCTCAGTAGCACCCACAGCCTTCTCGGCATCGGGCTGCTTCTGCTTCAAGTTTTGCTTAAGCGATGCGAGACCCGTCTTGTGCTCAGTGTGTTGCTTGCTGAGCGTCTTCTGCTTGATGAAGAAGCTAATGAGAAGACCAAGGAAGATGAAGCAGGTGTAGGCGATGAACATTTTCTGCATGGAGTTCCAGTAGGCGGTTTTGGCAACCTCTCGCTGGTGACCCTTTAAGCCGGCGACTAAAAACACGCTTGAGGCAGCCTCAGCACCGGAAAGCTTCTGGGCCAGCTCGGGTCCAAGTTCGCGAATCAGATATGGCTGCTGCTTTTGCATCTCATTGTCGAAGATGACGCCGCCAATGACGACAGAGGTAGACGTTCCAAGCTGACGCAGAAATTGGAAGCTGGCAGTAGCGGCTCCAATATCGCGCGGCTCAACGTTGGTCTGAAGGGCAATGAGAGGAGACTGGAAGATGGGGCCAGCGCCAATACCGGCAATGATTTGGAAGATGATGATCTTGGCCCAGTTTTCATTGGCGCCCAAATCAATAAGGAGACCAAAACCAAGGGTCATGAAGCTGAGACCAAATATGATGGGGATCTTGTAGTTGCCCGTCTTCTTGATGAAGATGCCCGTTGCAGCCGACAAGACGGATAGAGATAAGGCGTATGGCAGGAGATATACACCAGAGAGAAGAGACGAGGCGCCCAGAATAGCCTGGTAGTACAACGGAAGCCAGTAGCTGCCGGATATAAACGTCATGGCATGCAAGATAGACACGCCGTAAGAGGCAATGCTGGTTCTATCATTGAAAAGCCGAGTGGGCATGACGGGATACTTGGCGATTCGGGCCTCGTAAATGCCAAAGAGGACGATTGTTACAACACCAAAGATGAGTAGGCAGATGACGGTAGCAGAGTCCCAAGCGAACTGAACACCGCCAAACTCGAGTCCAAAGAGCAGCATAAGTGTACCGCCAATGATGAGGAGATTGCCAAACCAATCAATGGCCGCCAAGCCCTGCTTGATGGGCGTGCGAGGGTTGTGCAACTTGAGAACGAAGATGAGGATGATCAGTCCAACGCCGCTCAAAGGCAGATTGATGTAGAAGCACCAACGCCAAGAAACCTTGCTGGTAAAGACACCACCAAGAATAGGTCCGATGGACGAGGCAAGGGCCCAAATCATTCCAAAAATGCCAAAGTACATGCCGCGCTTGCGCATAGAGAAAAGATCGGAGACGCAGATGTTGGGCAGGACGATAGCGCCGCCACCGCCAACACCCTGAATGGCACGGCCAGCAATCAGCATGCCCATGCTGTTGCTAAGGCCGCATACCAGCGACCCAATCCAGAAGATGGAAACGGCAGCGATGAGGGTGGGCTTGCGGCCGAAGATGTCGGAAATCTTGCCCCATGTCGGAACGAACGTGGCGTTGCCAAGCATGTAAGCGCTTCCGATCCAGACGTAGCCGGCGCTGGAGTTGAAGTGGTTGGAGATGGTCGGGATGGCAGTGGTGATGATGGTTATGTCCAGAGCGGCCAGGAACAGCGCCAGACACAGCGCGAAGATGACGAGGGTGGTCTCGACCTTTGTCCGCCCAGCCTCGGGCTCATCTGCTGGCGGCTGCTGCATTGGAGGTCCCTCGACAGCTGGAGTCGTTGTTGTTGCCGATGCTGAGGCCTCATCCTCCTTTTCGACTGACGAGATGCCAATTTCCTTGTCCCCCAATCCTCTGCTGGCATCAACACCAGCTTCGACGGCCTTGAGCTCGCCGTCAGTGCTGTGCGCAGCATCAACTGTGTCGTCTGATCTGATTCGCCCGTTGGGCGTTGTGGCTTGATCAGCAGCCATGACGGGGGCGTCGACCGGCCGTGAAACAGCACCCGGGGCTGGATTTTACTGAGACTTTTTAGTGGAGATTTCGCGTGGCGACACCTCGTGGCGATCTATTTCGATTTTTCGTTCTTAACCCGTCTTGTCTTGTCTCCAGCTTCAAAAGCTTTGCAGAGCCGCGTTTTCGTCGCCTTTGATAGGGAGACAAACTACAGAAACCGACAGGACAAGTGAAAAGGGAGTGAATGAAAAATGAATGAGCTGAGAGCGGACTATCCAACAGAGGGGGTGCTAATGGTTATATAGAAGGTAGCCGTCACCGGGAGCCACAGATCGCCCCCATTCCCAGCAGAATAGGGAAAAAGAATGAAACCTCGAATTGCATCTTGGCCTGGAACTGAGAAAAAGCCGAACAGATATAGCAAAAAGCCATCGGCCGGCCCACTAAAAGGACCAGATTGTTTGCACTTTCGTATGTACGAAGGTGGGCTGCGTAGAGCTTCGGCGTGGGCTTGGCCCGATTCCCGGAAGCCGGCACGGCACAAGTGCAGCTTGGCTGGAGGCAAACTGCATGATGCGGATCCAGGGCCTGGCTCTTGGCCATCTCGGGCGCTGTGTCGAGATCGAGGCGGCGTGATGCGAGCTTAGAGCCCGTTTATCGCCGTCAGACTGGCTCTGCTGTCACTGCGGCGTGCTGTCACTGCGGCGTGCTGTCACTGCGGCGTGCTATTAGCTGCCGTTCGTCTCGTATGTCGTAGACCGTGAATGCTCCCCACGAGCGACTGGCCCCCCCGTATCTCACCGCACATACTGGATGCACTTGTAATAAACGCCTTCCGCCTTGGAGTTTGCACCACACTTCCACGCTTCTCCCCGACTGGATATTGGAACCTTTTTTCGCCTGCAAGGCTCCATAAGCGGGGGGCGTGCCATCTCATACCGGGCCCTGCAGGGCATCGGCCGAGAGCGGGTGCCAGCGCTGGGCTGGCTGGCGCTGGGTTCAGAAGCTATTGGGCGCCCGTTCCATGTCCCCTTTGATATTAGCCGATGCCAGGACTGTTCTAGCTGGAGTCCCAGGTCCGGGGTTTGCGCAAGCCCGAGCAGCGACGCGAGTGACGATGGCATAAGTCAAGACTTTCGCGACGGCTTATTAGACCAGATGCTCGGTGCTAAGAATGGAGCTGTGTGTCATGTTTTGAGAGTCGGAGGATGATAATTCGAGAACAGCATAGATGAATGATAAATCAAGGGGGTTGAGCCCGCATAAGCGTCCATCTTCTACATCAGACGATTTATGGCAGGTTGCATGAAGCTTCAATGGTGACAGCATGGAATACGAAGTATTACCGCCTGTATCGACCGATGGCACTCACTCCAGCTGAAGACGGCCCCTTAACGTCTGCGAACCCACTACTAGAAGAAGAAAAAAAATCTGCCCCGCGCGGCACTTGGTGTAGTGCATGACTGCTAGGGATTGGGCGGCCTACAATGTGACCAGTATCATTAGGGGAAGGCAACCACAGCCTACCTACAGTTCTATGACTATACATTGCACCGGACGTCTTCATGTTGCTAATGTTTTCAGAAGTTTGCTGCCCTTATGATAACTGCCTTGAAAGTGACTTGAGGCTGAAGCCTGCAGTGCATGAGGCGCAAGAGTCACTGAAACCTCTTCCGCAATAACCTTTATTCCCAGCAACTCACCGACATTGTTGACTTCATTGATTTCACTCTCCTCTACGCGCAACTGTAAATACGCGAATACGGCGTATATCCCTATTTCCCTCTCCCGATTCCCCATCTGGCCGTTCCAGTTTTTTTTTAGTGTTTTTCAAGCTTCTTTGGCTACGACCGTCTAAGCCAAGGAGCTCCACCAGGATTTACCCAGGTAGGCAAGTATATCGCTAGACGCTGACCGAGTCTTTGGCTACCTGAGCAGCGAAAAGGGCGTGCTGACCATGAAGCAGAAGGCATTCAGGAGGGAGAGAAGGATAGAGATAACCCGAAAAAAAACGCTTGCAGACCGATTGTTGCCCAGTACCGCCACTACGTACAATCAGAGAAATTGTAACCGCTAAGAAAGCCATGGAAAGGTGCCTAGCAAGCATCATAACGGTAAGGCTCATATAGTTGCAGCATCAATACGAACATCTTATCTGATCAAAGTGCACACATAAAGAGACACAGTCCTCGTTTATATGTTGGCCCTCGACATGGAAACCGCTGTCTATCCTCAACTTCTCCAATCTGCGCTCAAGTAAAGACCTCGCCAGCAGCAAACAAGGCGAGATCAGATATAAGTCATTTCGATGAACAGCACAAAAAGATTGAGGCAGTACTCCGTGAAATCGCATGCCAAGTAACGACATTGATTAACCAAAAGGCCAACTATCAAATGGAAAGAGCTTTGTCAAACGCTACATCAGAATTGCAATTTTGCGGCGACGTTACTATAGAGCAGTCCCCAAGTGATGCTATGGCTGCGGCTGTAGAGGCCTCTTCGAAGCCTTTCGACGGCCAGCATATAGCAATCTTTGTAGACGGCTCTTTGGTCTGGAAACACAATGGCAGAGCGAATTCGATTGCTCACCTCGGCGCCGCTGTTGTTTATAAGTCTCCTGAAGGCAGCCAAGGCTGGGAAGAGAGGTACTACTTTGCCATGTCCAAAGAGCGAAACCCGCAAAAAGCCGAATCATTCGCCATCGCGCAAGGTGCAGCAGTTGCTATAGAGCTTATAAAGCGACTGAGACGTCAAAACATCAGTTGCCCCGGGGAAACGGCTAACAACTACAGTGTGACCATCTTCTCAGACTGCCTAAGTGCTTTGGGGCGGGTCAAATATCCCCGAGAGAAGAAACTTGTCGTCAAGACTCATCTGTTCAGCGATCCCGATATCTGTAAACTCATTATGAGATCCCAGCACCTCCAACAGATGGGAGTTCATCTCAGGCTATGCTGGGTCCCTGGTCATTTAGGGGTTAAGGGCAACACGCGTGCTCATGAAGCAGCTAAGCTGGCCGCGAAAACTCAAGGGGTCACCGCTCTTGTTGATGAAGGATCACGGTGGATTGAATTAGAAGTTCCAAGCGATGAATGAACAACCAACCATTATCACACATCAAACAATAAAAGGAGAAACTAGCTATGACAAAAACTAAGGGACTAATGGCACAAGCTAGCTGAAGACTTGAGTGCATTTATTGGACGTCAGTCGACCACTGAGATCTGACCTATGTCAGCAGAGTCTAAGAAAAGAGCTATGAGTTAGTAGTCGTGGTCCAGAAATACGGCCTAGACATGCAAAAGAATTTGCATCACAAACTTTGATGCACGTGTCGGTCATTATCCAAGGCCGAAGTGCCGATCTTACGTAGGAGAGGCATCTTTGCAGTACAGAAGAGAAAATTTCACGATATACTGCTCGGAGCTCCGAGATGCGATAGCCGATATATCAGGCAGCTATGCTTTAGCAAGGATTAGGAATGATGTCGTGTTCTCTTGATGGATCTATTTTGTAAATGATCGCTGAAACACTCTAAATATAGTCATGGGACTCACTCCTGGTTCTATTCGGAGATTCAAATCTAATCTCCTTTTTTTCTCTCTTTGTTGTGCTCATCACATGTAAGAAAAGTCGTAACAAATATAGAATAGCTTGTATCATTAAATTGCACTATAATGGAGCGTCATAGTAATGATTTAAGAGGCTGTAGGTAATGTGAACTTCCATATCTTGGCAGCATGCTTGACATAAACTGTGCGCTGTTGAGCTGAGCACACATACATGTATCCAGGTTGAAGTATACAGTATACATGTAAGCTGCTGAGCACAATGTCCCGTCGCTGACAACACAGTCGATCTCGGTTACCTTCCCGGATCTAACGTATGTTCACTGGCCAGATTAGAATAAACAAGAAAAAAAAACCTTTGGAGAACGTCCTGAAGCTGGGATCTAACATGGTGTCGAGGATACCCAGAAGTTGGCAATGGCAGCACTTGTGGATTAGACTTTGATGTTGTCAACAGCCCATTCCATCATACTTCGAATAGCTCCATCCTGATCCCTCACCGGCACATACCCCAACCTCTCCTTCGCCTTCGAAATATCCCAGCAACACCCTCGATCAAGATGATCAATATCCTGACGCCGCATACTCGGCCTCTTGTAATTCAGCGTCAAGATCGCATACGCCCATTCCGTGCACGAAGCAATGCACTGAATCATATACAGCGGCATGACCTTCACCTCGTCCGGCTTCACCGGTGCCCCAGCAGCAGCGTAGCAGCGCCGCATAAACTGAAAGAACGGCTGTGGCTTTCCGTCACTAATAAAGTATCCCTGGCCATCAGGCTGAGCATCTTGCCTGGGAGCAGAGTCAACACGCAGCAGCGCCTTGGCCGCCAAGACGTGCGCTTCGGCTGCTTTGTGGACACTGCAAAACTCAAACACCTTGGAATCAGAACCGACCTGCATCCTGTGCTCGCCTCTCTTGATGCTCCCCAACAGCCGCGGCAGCAGGTTACTATAGTCGTACTCTCCGTAAACAACAGGAATTCGCAACGTTGCCGTTCGCAAGGCAGGGCTATTCGCAGCAATAACCATCGCATCAGCTATGCCTTTCGTTTTGCCATACGCATTACTATAATTCTCTGCCGTATACAACTGCCCTCGTTCCTCATCAATAGGCTCCTGTGTCGGCACAAGAGCCGAATCAGACGAAGTATAAACAAACACCCGCGTCTCAGAACTAGCAGCCGCCGCGTTCAACAAGTTTCGGGTTCCGTCAATGTTGGTGCGCTCCAGCTCTGCTGCCGGTGCTGTCGACGATGGAGAGACGGTATGAATGACAACCTGTGGCTTAATCGTGCTGAAGAGCGCGGTGAGCTGCGCTTCATCCGTGATATCGACCGCCTTGTAAGTAACGCGGCTGTCTTGATCCGGGTGGCTGTCCGGCGCCCTGCTTGCGACGTATATGTCACAGTCCGGTTCCAGGAGGAGAGCACGAACGACATGCGATCCCACAAAGCCTGCTCCGCCAACCACGAGCACAGATTGAATGTGAGGCTCTGTGATGGTAGCCATGATGTGGAAATGGCAAAATTCCAAATTAGGCCCGTGTCTGAAAGTTCGGTGATAGTCAATGGCAGCAAACCAGAGCTTACGTGTCGGGGATGAGCTATTGAAGGGCTTAAATACAATGGCCTTCGTTGGCTAGTCTCAAGCGGGGTCTCGCCCGTAGGATTCCCCAGGATTTGTCCTATTCGCAACTCCTCTTGGTAGGAATCAAAACATAGAATATAGCGTCCATGACCACACGGGCAGGTTTAGCGCGGGCAGTATTAAGGCAATGCTTTTGCGCAAGCCAATCAACCTTTGCAAGTAGCCAGTGCTGTACTAGATGAGCTGATCCAAGTTAGAGATTGACAAGTGAGATCAGATGCAAGCCCCGGCTATGAACTTGGCTCGACAAAAGTGAAAAATAAACCAATATCGATTCAAGGAACCACGAAATGGTTCCAAAAACATGTTTATGCATAATGTTATGTGATATCCCAGCCCAAACCAGTTCCAAAGAGTAATCCAAAAGAAAGAAAATTACAAAATTACAACCGTCGCTCCAGTAGAATATATGCTAAGCTCCTTTCTCCCTGTATCAACCACCAAATCCCCCTCCTCTTCCATGCTTCAAAAAGCCCAATACTCAGAACACCGTTAATGTATTAACGTAATCATTCTTCAAAACCTCAAACACCATCCCCGGGAATCCATATAGCGTAGTCGTAGAATCGCCATTTGCCTCTGGCCGTCTCGCCCCGCTCTCCTCCCATCCGCCGAGAAACTCGCAGCTGCTACCTGGGCTGTCTCCCCAGCCGCGGTTCAGGACCATACCCCCTTGTCGCGGCTGAGTTTTGTCTGTAGGATAGACACCTTCCCATTTCCTACTCATGAGATTTTCAATCGTCCTGAATTCCATCTCCGAGTTGACGGGGCCATCGCTAGACAAGTCATCCAGATAGCTAATTTCCCATCGACATCGGCGGTGGCGGTTGAACTCGTATGAGCCGGGTATGTTGCCATGGAGCACCAGCTTTGTTGCGACTAGCCGATCGGGAGCATGAGTCTTGATTCCATTCCCAATTTCGTCTGGTACCTTTGTTTCGCCGGGTGGGAGACTGGAGGGAGGGACAGGCGTAGACATGAGTATGTCAAAGCCAAAGTAGAAATAGTTGTAGAAACACTCTCCTGACGCATTGCTTCCTCCATCTTCCTCGACCGCGGCTTCATTCTCCGACTCATCAGAGCCGGTATGCATCGATGACTGATCCGTGTCCGTTAATTCGTCTGGTCGCCCTAGGTCTTTCATATTAGGGCGTCCATGCGTGTTGCTGGCCGCTCGCATCTTGTGAATGACCATTTTCTGATCATTCTTGCGGTATATCGCATTCGGCGGCCCAAGTTCCGCCACCAGATCCTGCGGCGTCGTCTCGCCGAGGATCATCCAAAATGAACTGGTGGTCCATTTTCTAAATAATTGTATCTTGCCTCCACCGTGTAGTCGTATCAAAGACACTTCATCAGGGTAAACGTCTTTTCCTCGAGGTAGCATGGAAGTCAGCTTCACGCTAGGCAGCACCTCTGTCCAAAGCGTCGGCCGTACTTCTGCCCATGAATTCCCACTGAATATCGCCATGGAAGTTGCAATTTGAGACGACGAGGCAGAAAGTAATGAAACGACATCTTTATCTGCAGAGTATACTGAAGTCGGCACCGAAAAGTTGAAAGCCACGCCAGGGTATGAAAGCACATATGTTCCGCTGCCCTGAGATCCCGCCGGAGGTATGAATTCGCCCGCGTATGTTGGTCCCAGCAGTCGATGATATATGTGTCTGAAAGTAGGCCCTGCCGTTGACTCTCCAGGCACCTCAGGAGCAGTAGTAGCACCGGCTGGCCGTACCAGATCCCGGTCCTTAAAGGTGATGTGGCTCTTTGTAAAATCGATCACTTCGATCAGCCGAAGGCGCTGCTCAGGGCCGTCGAATCGCAACCTGATGCCGTTCTGCGGTAGCACGACGCATACTTGTTCGGTGACGGGCTGGTCTTTGGAGTAGAGGACTTCGAGTTTCGGGAACGCTTGCGGCTCGGCCTTGACTCGAGTCAAGACATCGTGGACGGACGCGCCGAGGACTAGCAGATGGAGATGGGTTAGGCATAAACTGGGCTTTGGGTCCATACAAAATATAGCTTCAAAATTTACTCACCGAAGAACCCAAGGGCCCTGCCGGGATGAAGCTGCGCCGTAAAGAGCGCCATAGGGGGAGCGAGATGGAAACGCGACAGACCCAGGGGTCGGCGGGGTTGCGAAAGCAGTGACACTCTCCGGATATGGGATGCAGATGGCGTCTCGATGCTTGAATAGAGGCCGTTGGATTGCGATGTGGGCTTTACAGTGTGATGCTGCTATATTACAAGAGCTGTTTTTGAGAGAATGGAAACGAAAACTCGCAATCATATAATTGGTACCTAGTAGTAACAGAGGTAGGAATGTCGCTTACTGGTGAGGCAGCGTCACGAGCTTAAAGTTGGCGCAGGGACCAGGCGTGTGATTGCCCATGACGGCATGACGTGGGGCGCCTGGCCGCCTGGGGAAAGATTAGATAAGCAGCCCAGCTTCCACTTCCCGATGATACTAGTTAGTAAGGTACTAGTCTAGGAATCAACTTGTGAAGCTTGGCGTGTATTCTTATTTCCACACTCATATATAGTACAGGTACGATTATTTCGCAGGGCCATCCTCTTTGAATTCGCCAAGCTCGTACATTTTGCCGAGCAAATGAATTAGGCAGTTCTTCAACCATCAGCTCTTCATATTTCCTCAAACCTCGCCACTCCTCGGCTTCTGCATGCGAATAACCTTGTCGCAGTTCAACAAGCACAGAGGATCGTAAGCCTTTTTGATCTGCATCTCTCTGTTAAATGATTTCCTAGCAATTCAATAGAATAAAACACGAAAAGAAACTTACCTGGCGCATCGCATCCACCGTCGTCTCACCGAGCTCATGAGGGAGGTAGTCTCTCTTGACTAGGCCAACGCCATGTTCTCCCTTTATTTTAAAGGAGCCGGTCAGTACTTGAAGGCACGCCGGGTTAAGAAGGAATAGCCTTTCAACTTACAGAAACAGTGCCCTCAAGCGCAATCGCTCTCTTGACCATCCGCGAAACAACCGCCTCTGCCTTCTTTCGCTGAGCCTCGTTGTACAAAAGAATGGCTGTTTCATCCCTCATAGTTAGCAATTCGTTCTCAGTCGTTTAAACAGAAACAATCCTTACTGTGGAAGTTGCCATCTCCAACATGCCCAACAATTGTTGAAAACAGCCCGCTCTTTTGAATGTCCTCCTTGGTCTCCTCAATCACCTGAGGCAGCTTGCTCATCGGAACGGCCACATCCCCAGTCCACACTCTGTCGCCCTCCTTCTTGACAGACATGGTGCTCCATAGCGCTTCCTTTCTCGCGCTCCATAGCTCTTCTTGCTCGGTGGCGTTTCTGGCAAATTCAAATGTCTTGCTTCCCGTCTGCGAGGCAAGAGACTTGACTTGAGCAATCTGTTCCTTGACACCGTTGGGCGTGCCGGTAAACTTGAAGAACAAAGTGGGTGCTTCGGTCCATGTGCGTGAAGTCGTCTTGGATATGTTGATGCACCTCATTTGGTTGTCGTCCAGAATCTCCACTGCCGCAACGGGAATGCCTTTTCCTACGACCTCCCGCACACAGGTCGCTGCGTGGCGAATCGTAGGGAACGAGCAGACAGCAACACTCGTAGATTCAGGCTTGACTGTCAGCTTGAGCGTGGCTTCCGTCACCAGACCAAGGGTGCCCTCAGATCCGATGAATAGCTTGGTCAAGTCGTAGCCAGCAGAGCTCTTACGAGGGCGCTGCCTAGTCTTGATGATTGTTCCATCTGCCAAGACAACTGTCAGGCTGAGAACCCACTCCCGCATCGTTCCATATCGGTAAGCATTCGTGCCGCTGCACCCAGTGCCAACCATGCCTCCAATCATCGCCCCAGGACCGGGGTCAGGAGGGAAGAATAGGCCCTTTTCTGAGAGATGATTATTCAGCTCCTCCCAGCCAACGGCAGGCTGAACAACCACGTCAAGGTCCTCCTCATGCAAAGACAGAACCTTGTCCATCCGGCCAAAGTCGATTGAAATGCCCTTCCTCGTCGGCGTGAAATGTCCCTCCAGACTGGTTCCCCCGCTATAAGCAGTGACAGGAATCCTCCTCTGGTGGCAAATCTTCATGACTTCTGACACTTCCTCTGTCGAGCCGGGGTATACCACGCAGAACGGACGCTCCTCCGGGCCGGCAGGATGCGTCGACCAATCGGATGTGCTGTGTGCTTCCGTCTGTATTTCATCGGTGCTCACATTGTCTTTGCCGACAATCTTGACAAAGTCTGCCCATGCCGCTTGCATGTTCTCCAGCTTGATGTTATGCGACGGCGGTGTCGTCTTGGATAGAGGCAGCGTCGAGTTCGGCTCAGGTTCTCGTTGCCGGTATGTCCCCAGCCAGTATGAAATGCCAATGCCCGATAGGAAGACTGAAAGGCACGCCACAAACGTTAGCAACCACCACAATAACAGTCAAGATCTCAAGGCAGCTCACGAAAGGTAATCATCCAGTTCCGCGAAGGATCTGTCATGTCTCTCCACTTCTCGTACTGCTCTCGCTGCTCCCTCTCTCTCCTCAACCGCGCGCCAATGCTGCCCATCACCTGGCCCTGGAACGTCCTCCCCAGCTTCTTCTCATTTCCCTCTGTGGCAGGCTTCGGCCTCGGCCTCTCGGGTTCAATGTCCGTTGCGTAGTGTCGCAGCGCCGCAGCTCTTGGCCGAGCGACCGCGCCCTTGAAGCTCTGCAGAGCCACTCCCCGGCGCAAGGGATGCGCTGCCGAGCCGCACTTGAGCATTTGGTCGTGCTAGTCGGAGGCTGTCGATTGTGTGAAGATTGATTGTGACCGGCCGCAGCAGGCAATCGGGTGCTCAAGTTTGCAAAGGCGTGCCTGACTCGTTGTTGCATTCAACTTTCGCGACGAAATGTGAAGCTTGACTTTTGCGATAGTGGGGGTGGGTCTGAGATTCAGTACATACCTACTGTACCCATTTATAGCTGCAGTTGCTTGAGCTAGCAAATGGGATAGCCGCGGTAATGAGGTCGATGCGGAGGACGAACACCGCCGTCCATCACATTCCTTTAACCAAGCTGCATGATTTAGTATTAGCAAATGTTGTAACTTCAGTAACGTAGACTCAATTGTTCCATGTCGATTGGCTACTTCGGCTACGCACTCATCTACAATCGGGCTTCAACCTGCGGGTTATTAATCTTTCGGTAAAGGAAGAGCCTTGGGAAAGTACATCTTTTTTTATACAATCGAAAGGAGAATACTTGTCAGCTTTGCAAATGTTTGACCTTCACTGCCGCAACTCCAGGCAGCTATACCATTGCTTGTAATAAGCTTGTATATGTTTCTATAATCGTACAAAGACTCTATTTAACCAACCGCATTATAACTATGTGCTCTAAACTCCACGTGAAGTCGATCAAAGTCAGATACTCGCATCTTCAATTTGAAGACAACCACCTTACTCATGACTCCGTGTCCTCTGGCATAGTCTTGTCAGGTACACGCATGATAGACCTTGATAGATCTCAAGACCACGAGTTGACTCATGGTTTCGTGTTCTCTTGACTCGTAATTTCATGTCTTCTTGACTCACGGTGCCGTGTCTTCTGACATCAGTCTTGCTGCCGCTAGTCTTGCTGCTGCTGTATACAAACCAACGTCAAGGAAAAAACCATATCAAACGCAATAGATGCTCTACTTGTAAGCTTTGGAACGCCTTGGAACGCCTTGGAACGCTTTGGAACGCTTTGGAACGCTTTGGTCTCAATCTCGGAGGGGAAAATATGAGGTAATAAGAGGAAAAGGAGAGACAAAGAATAGAGAAAGGGTAAAGAAGAGAAGAAAAGACAGAGGGTTACTTCCATGGCACTACCAAGTCTCGTAGACGAATTAGAAACGGCCAGCATCGCCAGTTTTCCACACCAGTAGAACGCTGAATGTCGGTGTCTCTCCGAGGGTATAGGTGAAGAAAGCAGCGAGATGCTCATCATTGTTAATCACCAATGGTATCTCGCCGCCATTGCTATCCTTCACAACGCCTTCAATCCTAACACAAGCCGCTCCTGGCAGCTTGTCTGTCGCAGCTTGTCGCAGCTCCTGCACTGATTTGGAGCTCATAGTAGCTATCCATAACGGCTCGCTAGGAATAAAGGTTGATGATGGATGCATTCGGAAATACACGGCGTATGCCGTCGATATTGGAGGATTATGGTGAAATAACTGCGCCGCGGGGTGTGTAGTGCCATATGGAGGAGCTACATATGACTCGTTTAGGAAGCCCGTGCCAGCATTCGAATCCAGTAACAATGGCTGTCCAACCGTCGAGTCCAAGTGCACGTTGGGGGTGTCTCCGGAATTGAACATTTGCGGAGTAGTCAAGGGAGGGGCTTGCGGGCGTAGAGCGGCAGTGGGAGCATCCAAAGAACCCCCAACCACGTGCGATGGCTGCAGAGATAGAGGTAAATAAGGCGTTATAGCGCCACTGTTGTCGGGACTCAATATAGCTTGAGGAGTATATGAGGCGTCAGACACATCGTCAAGTGCGTTTGGGGATAAGCCATCTCCCAGATCTATCTGACCAGCGGATAGTCGCGGGCCGAGTAGAAGGCCAGTATCATCATGGTTGGTGTCCAAATCATTAGGGAACTGGCTCATGTCTAGCTCAATTCGGTCAAGCTGTGCCTGTTTTTTCGGGCTTCTGCTGGCTCGATTGTCGCGTAGTCGTTTCAAGGTATCCCGGGATAGTACGTCGAGAGCTTTGACTTTAAGACGGTTACTTGGATCACTGTCTATGTCGTCCAGAATCTTCTGGATCACATCTGACCGGCTACCCCATAGCCTTCTCAAGTCGTCCCATTGCTGAGCTGTAGGCGTGGAGTCAAGTTTTGTGGTAAACCCGGCTTCGATCAGCACCTCGTTGAAAGCAACGCGGGCATCTCTTGCTTCTTGGGGATTTATTCCTAGGGCATTCTTGACTTCTGCTACACTCATTTTAGAATCCATGGAGCGCATCCTTTTCGCAATGTCTGTACAGATGACATCCAATGCTGCCTGCTTGGATTCCAATTCATCTTCGGGCGTCCACAGCTTGTGGTACAGCTCGGGTTTTATGTGCAAAAGACGTGTCTTGGCAGCTTCCCATTTCTCAGATCCGGCAGATTTTTTGCTGACGTCCATGGCCGTACAGATGTTTTGAAATGCAACACGGAGTGAACGATAGGTAGGCTTGTCCAGACCCAACTTGCTTCGAGCATCGTCAATCGTCATTTCTGAAGGAAACCGTACGATGGCTCCAGAGGCGTCCGTCTTGAACCGATTTCGTTTCTTCTTGTTCTTGTCAGCTTGGTGCTGCGCCGACTCAGTGGCGTTCGCATCATCGTCAAGTCCGATTCCAGGCGAGGGCGTCGAAAGAGCATGATTTGATACGCCTTCATCAGCGTCTTCAGCATCGGCCTCTCGTTCGTCTTCTCTATCCACTCCCCGTTCCCCCTGCCCTTGCTCGCCGTGTTGCAGAGATAAGGTACTCTCGCCCGCATCTAGCAAAGCAGAAGGTTCCAGATTCTCCGGTAATTGAAGCTCATCATTGGAATTAGTGGTAGATGTATCGATAGCCTTTGCTTTTTCATTATTAGGACCGCGAAACAGCCATCTATTCTTTAGACGGAGCTTCATTATTTCATGCGGACCCGCGTCAAAGCCTTCATCAACAAGTATTTTGATCATCTCGTTGGGGGAGAAGTTCTGCTCCCACAGCTCCTTGATCCGGCCTAGGAGCCGGTCATCTTGGCAGCGGCTCTTTGTTTTGAGCGGGAAGTCCCAGCGCCGGAACTGGGCCTGGAAGGCGCGTCGACTATCATTAATTGTCAGTTCCGCCATCTTGGCTACACTTTGCATCGCCGTCTCTCATATCAGCAATTCGAAAATTGATTTAGGTAGATGCTTCAGCTTTGTCCGCATTGTTTGAAAATTGTACCATTCTATGGTGAGGCGTGGAGGGTATCGCAAGCATCATCTACTTTCACAGGGATTCGTCACCATGCAAGTGTACAGTTGGGCATACCTCGGTGTGAAGCCAAACCCGGTCTTCAGATGATCCATGATGCGCTCTAGGGACCAGCCCTCGCGGATATATAGCCGGTGACATGTTTCTTTATGGCTCTCCCAATCGTAGCCCATGACTGGCATGATTCCTTATGGCTCGCCCATTCGAAGCCCATGATTTGGCGACGAAGTGGTTGAACGCATGGTTGAGTTTGGGTGGAGAATGTTGTCGGATGCTGCCATTCGGCGACATGCAGCTTTAAGCTTCACGGCGATTAGTCATATACGGTGCGAATTTTGATTTTGTTGAAAAATATACTGTATATGCTTCACTCCACATTGCACGTTCCACAGGCATGTTATAGCGATCGGGTACCTGTAACCCCACCCACATGATGTACTTGATCCTGCAACTTGGCTTGTGATAGTCTACCAACCTATTAAGACATGCTCTAAATGGATTTGGGATTTAGCAATTTCTCTATACGTTGCGCTACAAGTATTCATCCAAGCTATCTAACCCAATGGAGGAAAACAGAGAGCAAATTAAGCGCCACCACCCCAAAATCTTATGGTATAATGAGCTCCCAGCTAGCTAGCTTAGCATATAAGTGCAATCCAGCGCCGCGTTTATTTGCTACTGGTTGACTCTAAATTCTATTCAGACATTCTAATTGACCAGGCTGGTCTCATCTCACTATAACCATACGGCCATGTCCATCGACAGGCTGTGGCTCCTGGGCGCAGGCTCAGTCACTGCATTGGCATATCTCGCAGTACGACTTGTACACCACCGTTCAAAGTATCGTGATCTGGTATGGCGTCTACTGGCTAGCATGTACATCGTGCTAGCAGCTAAATCCTTAAAAAAGGAAAGCTTCAAATGGCTAATTCATTTAGCCATGCCCGCCACATTCGATGATCTGGGGCCATTTGAAACTCATTGGCGAGTACGTTGAGAAACTGCCCCGGGGAATACACATGCAGTCAGTCATCTCGGAGCTCAAAGCAGACTACGATCTTCCTGATGTCTTTTACATCGACCTCTGGCCTCTTGGCCCGCAATTCATTTTCTGCGTCTCTCCCGAGGCCTGCGCTATCCCGACGACCGAGAACACATTTGACATGCATGAAGAGGTCGCCAAATTTTTAAGGGGCAGCGTTGGCGCCAGTTTCATCGAAGGGACGAATGGACCTCTCTGGAAACATCTGCATCAGACGCTTGCGCCTGGGCTTACCCCAAGTGTTATACGAGGGAACCACGGCTCTATTATTGAGCAAGCTGCGACTCTTCGCCATCGCTTCTCGGAAATAGCCAAGTCTGGCAAGGTTACCGATATACGCCACGAGCTTGGATACTATCCATTTCAAGTGATGGTAAAGATTCTCTTGAATGAAACGCTCAACACGCAAATCTACGACGACGTTAAGAGCGCTATCGACCTCCAGGGAGAGATTAATGCTACAAACAACCCTTTTGCGAAGTGGCGCTTTGGCAGGGAAGCGAAGCGTTTGTGGAAACGCATAGAGACAGCTATCGAGCCGAAAATAAGGGCTCGATTTACTGCCCTTCAACAACAGGATGTTGCTCCAACCAAGAGCAGTGTCACATGCCTATTGGATAGAATGATGCTATCAGAGGTTCAAAGTGGGCATTCTTTGGGGAATAACACCATGAGGATAATGCTCGACAAGTACGGCGGTCCCCTTTCCGAATCGTCAATCGTACATGTATGAAATTTTGCTAACATGTATATTGGCAGTGTAAATGGGTTATTAGCCGCTGGATATGGTACCACTTCGGATGCGTCAACGGTGCGACAACCCTGCAAAATCATTGTTCTCTCCCTTGAAAAAGTTGAAATCTAATCTTTGACCCCAGTACATATTGATGCTTCTCAGCGTGTTCCCAGATGCGCTCCAGAAGTTACGAGAGGAGCACGACCGGATTTTTGACAAGGACCATGACAAGACAGTCCAGATGCTTCAAGAGCAGCCCGGGCTCATCAATAACCTAGCATATACTACGGCAGTCGTCAACGAGACACTGAGACTGTTCACCGTGGGCTTTAGTGTTCGCGCGGCGCCATCTGGCATGTAAGCATCACATCTTATTTGCTGCATTCGCTTGGTCTCTAACCGAGAGAGTAGGCCGACCATGGAATACAAGGGCCGATCATATCCCTTGAAAGACCACCTCGTCTCCATTTCCCAGCAGACAATGCATTACAACCCCAAGTACTTTGATGAGCCGACACTATTCAAGCCAGAGCGTTTCATCTCGGCAGAACCAAGTTTTCCTCGTAACGCATACCGGCCCTTTGAAAAGGGTCTGCGATCTTGTCTCGGCCAGCCACTGGCCATGGACGAAATGAAGATTCTGCTTGTCATGGTGGCGCGGTGGTTTGACTTTGAATTAAGAGAGCACAATCCCTCGGACAAGCCAAAGTATTCGTACACCGACCTGGATACAAAATTGGGCGACCATGCTATTCAATCTTGGGCTTTTACGGCAGGGCCGGCTGGCAGGGTCATGATGAAGGTTACGGAGAGGTGATTTAGAGATGATCCGGGAATAGGGGCAACCATTGCCAAATGCATCTGCAGGTTCTATTGATCGAGTCCAGTTTATTTGTCTTGTACAATGAGCCCTACAGACCCGCATTTAGTCTTGGTATAAATAGTGAATTGGTGAATTCTTAACATTCTCAGTCTTTTGAGCCACTTTTAATGATGAAAATAGAACCAAAGTCCGGTATTGTCACTCTGATTCACTTCGTATCACCATTATACAGGGTAGAGCGCTGAGAACAATCTCGACGCTAGTACCCCACACATGGACTCGGCAGCAGCCATCGATTGACTGTGGGGAACCGAGGTCCACGGCTCCCGCGTCTTAGACGTGCAATCACATCTGTAGTGTCTCGAGTATTACAGACGGCATCATCAGAATCTCATCTCATCCAAACTTGGTCCATTACAATCTTTACACAATCACAAGAATCCTCAACTAATTCTCACCTCTCACCCTCTTACTCAAATCTTGCTGTTGAAACCCCAGACAGCCGAGTGTCTCACACACTCAAGCCTCCCAACCCCAACACCACAAACTCAAGATACACATCAACCTCGCTCACAAAAATGGCCCCCGACCTCCCCTCCAGCTACAACACCTTCACCCTCCCAACCCTCCTCTTCTCCCACCACCCAGCCTCCTCCGCCGCCGTCACGCCCGTCATCATCATCAAGCTCCACCGTCCCGCCGCCCACAATGGCTTCACCCAAGAAATGGCCCGGTCCCTCATCGCCGCCTTCAGCCTCTTATCCTCCGACCCGCGCGTCCGCGCCATCGTCCTGACCTCGTCGGACCCCAAAAACAGGCTCTTCTGCGCAGGCATGGACTTCAACGCCGGCGGCGAGCAGAGCGCCAGCGCAGACGTGCACCGCGACGAGGGCGGCCAGGTCAGCCTCGCCATGTACAACTGCACCAAGCCCGTCGTCGTGGCGCTCAACGGCTCCGCGGTGGGCGTCGGCATCACCATGACGCTGGCGGCCAACATCCGCGTCGCGAGCAAGGACGCCAAAGTCGGCTTCGTCTTTGGCCGCCGGGGCTTCTGCTTCGAGGCGTGCAGCAGCTTCTTCCTGCCGCGGCTGATTGGCACTTCGAAAGCCTTGCACCTGGCCACCACGGGCGGCGTGTATCCCGCGGGGCATAAGCTGTTTGACGGGCTGTTCAGCGAGGTCGTCGAGGCGGGCGAGGTGCTCCCCACGGCGCTGCGGATTGCGGATGAGATTGCGGCCAATGTCAGCCTGGTGTCGGCGGCGGTGATGAAGAACCAGGTGTACCGCGCGCCGGCGTCACCAGAGGAGGCGCATCTTGTGGAGAGCAAGCTGTTTTACTCGCTTGTGAGGAGCGAGGATGCCAAGGAGGGGATCCAGAGCTTTTTGCAGAAGAGGCAGCCTGAGTTTAAGGACACGATAGATGAGAATGCGCCGCCGGGATATCCGTGGTGGGCGCCGGTTGATGTTAGGTCGAGGTCGAAATTGTAAAACGGGGGTTATGATGTATCAGCAAATGTGTCGAACAATTGTGAGACTCTTTCTTGAGCATAAAAATTGTAATCAATATCAAATCTTTGCAATGATGTACAAGAGAATGTCAATAGACTGGCATTATCCAAGTTCATCGCAGCAATCACGCGTCAAGATTCCAGCCAGATATCCTACCGCCTTTCACCAAAACACATGCATTTCATAGTTTCTCTCATTCCACATCAAAGAGTTCATCAAACTCGAGCAAAGCATTTACTCTCACTCAAATCTACAATAACAGCTTCTCATCCCTCACCGAGCCTCACCGCCAGCCCACCCACCCTTCTCCAACTCCCACCAGCCCAGTGTAACCCAACCCTCCTCCTCACATGTTAAAAAAGAGACAGACCGAGATCATCGCTGTGCCCCTGGTGATCGATCCCTCTTTTAGGCACAGACGATCTTGATTCGCGCCACCTTGTAGCGAATCACATCGTCCCAAGCAATCTAATGCATGGCGCGTAGTATTCATGCTGTATAACAAACAACGAGGCCACCTCCAGCGATAAACACTTGACGGGTTTCGTGCAGTAAACATTGAGGCTTTTTCAACAGATAGACAAACAAGTTAGCGATAACACTTATGCATGCGGACATGCATACAATATAGTACCCAGTAAGCAAATATCAAAACAAACAAGTAAACAAACAATATAAACATCACCATCTACATCACACACACATGCACAAGTAAACATCACAGTAAAATTATTGTAGAATGTCAGTATAAATGATTTAGAAACTTGTTCGTATTTCACACCACGTAAAAAGTCTAACAGCTACATGTCCCTAACAAAAGACCTTGTGGATGGACCTCTATGGTAAATATCCTAACCTCCGCCCAAAAAAGTTATTAAAAAACCCTTTTCCCTCTCTCCAGAAAAACATCCCGCGCGTATAGACGCCCCACGAGAGTCGTTCTGTTGAAAACCTCGAACAAGCTTCCTTCATTCGCTGGGTATGCCCCAAAGAATCTCTCTTTTTTTTTTTTTGTCTTGTGGTTCTTATTATTTGTTTCTTATGTTCTGCTTGGGGTCTTTCTCAAAAAAAGGAGTGAACTTGTTTTTGTTTTCCAAATGTTTCTCCTTGAGTAACTCTCCAAAGCGCGGGTTTGCCCCTTTGGTAAAATGCGTATATCCATCCTCCTGTATGCAATTCGTAAAAGTTCCAAAGAATGGAATTCAGAATAGAAAAAAGTGAAATTCATCAAGACTCAAAATCATCCCGTTTTGAGTGATCAGAGAGAAAAAGAAATAAAAGTCAAACATATCTTCCGCCCAATGCTTGGTAACCATTTCCCAATGGTTGTTGATTTCCCGTAACGCCTTGCAGAAGACCAAAAATTGCAGTTGTGTTTCGCATGATAAATAGCAAAAAAAGTAATAATGGCATTGCCTGATATGTTTTGCCTGGGGTCTGTTGCTCCCCGACCGTAACTCAAGAGCCGTGAAAAGGGAAGAAAAAGCAAAAAAATCATGAATTTGAGGCGGTGATAATGTCCAGCCTCCTCGACTTCGCTGTTGATATGTGTCGCTAAATTGATTGGTCGAGAGTGGTAAAAAAGGTAAAACAGTGGCGAAGAAGAGTATTGTATATATACATGTGATCGTATGTAGCATTTCGCTCTCCTGCAACATTGCTGTTGCTTAGATTAGATCGAATCCAAAACGGCAGAGAGATGGATTCTCGACTGTTTAGTATGGGCAGTCGGTAAGGTATGGGGGCTGGAATGTGCTGCAGACAGCGGCCTATGATCGCCTGGCCAGCTTAAGAAGGCGGGTTCGCAGCCAAAGAATAAAGGCCGTCCACAGGCTGTTTGTCCTGCGTTTAGCCGTCTTACTCCGCGAGGGGGCCTGGAATTGCTCGTCCGCGGCACGGTCACCACCATTGAGGGGCTCCGACTCGTTCTTCTCGCGGACGCTGGACGAGTTCCTGGCGCTGGAAAGCGTGCTGGTGTGTCCAAAGCTGGTTTTTCGCTTCGAAGCCTGCGCGCGCTCCGTCTTTTGCGCCTCCTTTGCGTCGGCGCGCTCCCGCTTGCGGATCTGCTCCCGGGCGTACTTTTCTTCCTTTTCTCGCTCCTTGGCCTCGAACTTGCGGCGGGCCTCGCGGACCTGCTCCTGGCGGCTGACGGTGTCCATCTCGCTGCGCGAGCGGAGGCGGAAGCCGTTCATGTCGAGGGAGGTGCGGAAGGGGGAGATGGGCGATGTGGAGGTGATGGGATTGGAGGCCGACTTCTGCTGGGTAGTGGAGATGAGCAGAGGCACGGCGGCGGCGGCGGCGGCGGCGGATGAGGAGGCGTCGTTTGCGGACTGATTCACAGCGCTTGCGAGACGTTGCACAGAAGGGCCCGAGTTGGAGCGCGTGGTGCTGATCTTGACCGAGGACGGGCCATCTGAGCTGCTGCGCTGGCTGCCAGAGAGCGACGGGCGGTCCGCGGGCTTGGAGCTGGGCGAGTTGGAGCGCAGGCTGGACGAGTACGAGAGCTTCTTGGTGGCGGTGGCAGCGGGCGAGACGGGCTCGGTCTGGCCAAAGGACAGCGAGGCAGGGGAAGCCAGCGGCTCATCGGCGTCCAGCTGGCGGTGGTCCTCGTCGCCGTCGCTCTCGGCAATGGCGCCGGTCAGGTCGCGCTGCTGCGGCAGGCCGCCGTCGAGCGACGACACCGAGTTGGCGTACGAGTGCAGCGGCGGCGTCGACGTCCGGGGCATCTGCTGGAAGGGGTGGACAAAGGAGCCGACGCGGTTGGCCGTGGGCTTGCTGGAGGCGCCGCCGCTGGTTGTGCGTGTATGTGAGCCCGAGAAGGTGTTTGCGCGGCCCAGGCCAGGCGGGCTGACCAGCTCGCCGCTGAAGCTGACGTCGCGCGAGAGCGACAGCTTTGCCTTTGCCTTTGCGCCGCCGGCTGGTGCGGCTGTGTAGGAGCCGTAGGTGTTTCGTCGGTTCTCGGTGGTCAGGTCGTCCAGGTCGCGCGATCCAAAGTCGAAGGAGCCGTACTCGACGTCGGGCGTGGTGGCCACGGGCTGGTCGTCCCAGCCGCGGTTGAGGTCCAGTGAGTTGCGCTCCGAGTGGTGTGAGTGGACGTGGTGCAGTCTCTTGAGGATGGGCTTGACGACGATGCGGCTGCGCGACTTGGTGAGCTTGCCGTGGCCGCTGAGGCCGGACGGCTGTGTTTGTAATGAGACCATGTTGTTGTGTGAATGTGTGAAGTGTGAGTGTTGAGTGATTAAAGGTAAAAAGAGGATTTATTAATTAAAATAAAGGGAAGAGAGGAAGAAGAAGAGGAGGAGTGAGGGTCATACAGATACGCAATGCTGTTGTGGCTTGCTTGCGTATGCGTATACGTATAAGAGAGAGAGGCTATAACGGGAAGTAGACGAAGAAGGTTGATGGCTTCGAATATGCTTCCTTCTGGGTTCTTGTTTTAAGTTTCGGAATTTCGAACAAAAGCCCACTTTCCACTTTCTCAACCAAGCCCCCTGTCGATGCAAAAGATTCGTTTCGTCTGTAGTCTCTACCTACACCGACTGCAAGCCATCGTTGCCGTGGTTCCTCCTGCGTGCAGTTATGGATATGCGGGATGGGGTTTGAAGGAGTTACACGGCCACCGACTGTGAGACTCCACCAGACGCATGCATTGGGCGCAGAAGAGACGTACCCCGAGGCAAGGCAGTGAGGACCCGAACGACCAAGCCAGGTGGGAATTAATAGTATCTCGACAGGGTTTATAAAATAGGAGGAAAACGGGGCCGCTGTGCAAGGGAAAGGGGGCAGGTATATGAGAGAACTGGCGAGGATCAATAGGTACTGGAGGTGAAGCCGAAGATGGGCGGTGGTCGCGGGTCCGGGGGGGCCCAGCGCCTCTATGTACACAATTTGGCACTACAGGCGGTGCTAGGCAGGGCACTAAAGCCCGCTGGATGCGGCGAGCTGTAGGCGGGCCGGTTGGCCTGGAACAGCGCCTGGGCGCCCAAACAAGAAAAACGTCTGGTTCGTTTGGTGGGCCGGGGGTCTCGCGATTACGGCCGGTGCTTGCGGCGCATGGGGCTCCAAGGGCGGTGTTGGCTGGGCGCGGTGGCAACAAGTTTTAGAGGAGCTGGCTTCGGCCAGATACTTGGACGAGCAGGAGGGAAAAAATGTCTCGTACGGAGGAATAGACGCAGCCTGAGTCGCAAAAAGCCGCGAAAACGGATTTTGTGGCTTGATGCTTGACACTTTTTTTTTTTTTTTTTTTTTGCTAGATTTTCTTTTGCTTCTCTTTCGTCATTGTGTTGTACAGTATGCAGAAAGGTATATTTGGCTGGGCGCGAATAAACAAGGCAGATGCCAATTTAATTAATCAGACGGATTGGTTCAATTAATTTACCCCAAAGATCCTTCCCAGCCTCCCGCCAGTACGAGTATAGCAATCCCGATACGAGTATAAATCACATAAAACCACGGTTAGGTAGAATATACCGCGGCACGTGGACGCGACAACAAGCGGCGAGCCCAGCATGGCCCGGCCGGGGTTGCGGCTTCGACAGCGTTTCCAGACGTTCCGCAAACCCTTGACCCGTGGACCGGCGATGCTCATCGATGGAATGATAGCTCATCGTTTCTGGCTTGTGTCTGTATACTGTACAGTACCGGTGCTGTATCCTTGTGGGGAGCGCCGCAGGGGAGGGGGGATCCGAATTAAAAGAAAAAAACCGGGGGCAGCCAAGAGGGACGCTATTTCCATCGACGAGGTGAAATGAAGTGTACCGCCGCCGTAATATTACTCGCTGCGCGCCGTGAAATTGCACTGCACCATCCGTACTCTGCTGTACCCGCCTGGCCATGGGTACATGTACTTTCTGTAACGAACGCTATGAGCATTGGCATTGGTTTTAATATTAACCAAGCGCCCAGTCGCAGCGTCATTAATTAGATTTTGACGGCAATAAAACCCACGGAGCTGTGCTCGAGTCCGAGGACAAAGACGACAAATTACCGCAGATCTGTTCTCGTCGTCTTTTAGAGTTCTTGGTTTCGTGCCAAAAGCATCCGGTGTCAAAAAAATCATCTCGGCCCGCGTTGCTTTTTTTTTCCCTCTCACTCACCGTCGACCCGAGGCGTTCTTGTGCCCCACGCTTAAATGGGATTGGAGGCGCCTTTTTGGCACTTTACTTGTGACTTTACGGAGGCATATAGGCGCTAACTGTCCAGTGATTCTTCATCTTTCCTTGCTTTTTTACTTGCTCTAACCCCTCTTTTTTGTGTCTTTTACTCATGATTGTGATTGACAACTCAGACGGGCGCACAAGAAAATCCATTCCCAGAACCTGCAGCTCCGGAAAGGCGGTCATGATGCATACATCTCTTCCCCCCCTTGTTCTCTTTATGTCTCTCTCGGTTTATTGGGAGTTGCGGGTCGCCGAGCTGGAACTAGTCCCATGTACTTGGTACCCTCCACGACGGGGACGGCGGCAGCGCGGAATGCAGGCCTTCTGATCCCGGACTCCGTACTGGGTACCGCTAGGCCTGTCCAATCTGCTTTATTGGATGCTCCGTATTAATTAATCATTACAAAGGGCCTCTTTCTTGCTTTCTTGTGCGAGACTCAATAAAATGAAGGAATAATCCCGCTTCCCCGATTACTGCTGCTGCTGCTACTGCTGCCACTACTGCTGCTACTGCTGCTAGTATTAATGAGAGGGGAGTTTAGCGCCCCATGCGAGTATATGCGCAGAGAGAGTCAAGAAGCAGCCGCGGCACCAGAGCTGAAATGAGAATCAAAATGAAATGAGACGAGTGAGTGAGTGAGTGACTGAATGAATGAATGATTCATGGAGAGGCCCATCAGCATCAGCATCAGCACCATCACCGCCTATTCCACAATGCTGGCTGGTGCCTGGCAAAGCTGTCCTCTGCTGCAGCTGGAGGGACGCATGCATGCATGCACGCAGCGCATCGCATCGCATCACAATCATGACGCGATGGATTGATTGCATCGAATGCGAGAGAGGCAGGCATAGCAATCAACAGCCATGCCCAGGTTGCCAGGCTGCCGCCGGATGAAGCGATACATACGAAAAGTACCTGCCTTACATTGGATGCCACAGCTCGAATTTGCGCCGGTGTTTGATATCCACCAATCCCCGCCTGCGCCCTCGTTTTGTTTACTTGTGTCACTCTCTGTTACTCTCTGCTACTCTCTGCTACTCTCTGCTACTCTCTGCTACCCAACCAACGTAACATTGCAGCAGCTCCAGCAACTCCGCGTGCCCGTTCAAGCTCGTGTCCTGCAACTCTTCAACTCACTGGTCTGCTTCTTCTTCTCTTGCCGCCCTGCTACAAGAGCTGCTGCTACCGAGCATTCACTCTCGTGCGTTGCGCTACGCCTGCTAGCTGGATGCACCTCCCAGGGCACGACAGACCCGATCGCCAGTCTACGGACGCTCATTGGCGTCTTGGCGAACGTCGCTGGAGCAGAAACGCCCTGCAGCTTCTGCAGCAGCACGAGCTGGGGGCAGGCAAGGGGACAGACGGGAAAAGACACACAGAGAGACCGACCGCCTCCAACTGCCCCAATGGACCCGCGCCCGTGCAGCTTTTCTGCGCTGTGCTGCCAGTGCGGTGAGCGAGTTGAGGGAGCCTCTCTGGATCACGAGATGGGCCTCGTAAGCGCACTCTGCTGCAAGACAGGCTGCACGCAATGTCCCCGTGGATGTGTGTTTTGCACGGTATTAGAGTGCAAGCAGCGTGCAATTATCGCTGCAACACATAAAGCCTGTCTCGGTTGAAAGCGACAAAGAGCGCCATGAGGAATTCTGCCCGGCTGCCCTGGAGCAGAGGGAGAGGCAGCGTCCCAATCCGGAAGTCAGCCAGCCCAGCCCAGCCAGAGCTCAAACTCGAGGCGCAACAAACAAAACAGAGAGCCCTGTTCAATATGGCGGTAAATGATCTGCATCTTCATCCTGAAGCTGTGCCTGGATTTGTATCGCTGTATGCTTGTACTTGTATGCTTGCTGCATGTGTGCATGTATGTACCGCTGTACCTCGAAATAGCAGCAGCACCGCCGCCGACCCGGGGTCAAAGTGACATGGCACGACATGGGGTCGACTCAAGAGGCAAATGTCACCTTCTGCCACCGCCTTTCCATCTTATCCCATGCCGAGGGGGAGGGGAAAAGGATTTCGCCTACATTACCGCCACCACGATGGGGCTGGCTGCGATAAGAATAGGGACAGAAACAAGGCAGAGAGAGCGAATAACAGCTGCGAGAAGCGGTTGTGTCTCCTATTTGGCCCCCCGGCATCATGTACGGGCTGCTGCTACAGCTACTAGTAGTGTTACCAACGTGTAAGTTGAGTCCATATATGCGGCCTGGAAGCAGGTATGCGACGAGAATCTGGCGGTGGAGGGCCAAAAGCACATGAATTGCGGCCATGTATACGTGTATGCGGGATTCGTGACAAAAACTCCGTAATACGCGCCCCGTGTAAGCAAGACGCGAAATCTTGATTTGCGTTGCTACACATCTCAAATGCTGTCCTCGGTAATAATATCAAGGCTTGTTACCTAGGCAGTCGATACTGTCTCTCACCGCGTTGTTAAATGGCTGAGCGTCTATGTATCTCCAAGACTACGTAATGCTCCATATACACCTTCAAAGCAGTCAACATGTCCATCTCACTCTATTCGTTCCCAAAAATTTCTGTGTCTTATCTCCCCGCTCCTCCGTAAAGCTCACTCAACTCCAACCCCGCTCCGCATGTCTCAGTTCTCCTCATCCATCCATCTATCTCGATGCGATGCGTCTGCCTACAGTAACAAAAACCGCCAAACCAACGTGCCTTATAAACGTTCCGCATCCTCCTCGGTGTCACTTCTCTATTAGCTTGGCTTTAGTCCCCTCTAATCAAAGTCCCTTCCCCGAATCTGCGCTATCGCAACGCCATTCGCCCGGGGGGTTCTCGCACATGGCGTTTCGCCTGTTGGGTCTGTGGCTTTCCCTGTAGTGACATTCGTTCGAACGACGTCTCTCGGCCATTCACACGCTTTCGACGTGGCGGGAGTGACGGTCCCCAGAAGTGGCGCTATTGCAGATTTTCAGCCGCTCGCCGATGGCGCTTCTCCGTCTTGGAGCTTCAGCCGTGGTTTGACAGCCAGCGATATCCCAGCCTTCCGAGACTTCCTAACGAGGTCGACGAATATTAGACC